ATCCTCACCCGCAGACAGAAAGGATACACAGATACATCCGGTGGATACAGGAAGTTTTATGCTATAAAAAAGAAACATAAATCTAAAAAATAGATTAAGAAACATGGCAAGAATTTATAAAATTTAAAAAAGGAGATTTTTAATGAACATTTCATTAGGATACATAACAAACTTGAGTACAATAACTATGTATTTGCATTTAGCTTTCAAAGGATTGCATTTGAATTTTAAGATATATATGAAAATCACAATGGAGAAAATTGAGATTTCCAATAATAACATATTTTTGTATAGTTTTTATCTTAAACGTAAGCCTTTCATTCAGCCAAAAAATAATAAGAAATTCATATCTGGTGAAAAGATGAAGCTTCCTTCTTCCTTCCTCCTAATTTCTTTGAGTGTGGACCCTTTTTAGCAGAATCCTCTCCTCGCCTGTTGAGCTATTCCTTATTTACACTTTATATTTATTTGAAATATGAGCTGCTTTCCAGGCTGCCGAGTGCAACGCTAAATAAACCAGCAAACACGCTCTCGTTCTCGCCTCTCAAATCGTCCCCATGGCAGCTGTCAGTTGGCATTATTATCGTCAACAAAAGACCCGTGGATGTGATACATTCCCCGGACATTACGGCTGGTGGGGCTTACAAGATGACAAAATGTGATTTGAATGGGGACACTTTCCACTGAACACCAGAGAAGATTTCAATTTCTTTTTGATACAGATTTCTGCGTGAAGGAGATGAATGTTGAACATTATTGGGAGATTATAAAAGGAAACCGCATCTGGAGAGTGATTGGTGTTAGTAAAGAACCATGAGTGGGAAACCACAGAGATATTCCAAATAAAATATTTAGTATTTAGTTATTTAAAGCTAAATTAAAGTGTAGAGTCATGAATTTTTATAAATTGACATTTGACATTTATAAATTGATATTTAAATTAGTTTGTCGTAATTATTTTCTACATTAAAAACCAATATACAAATGAATTTAATTAAAACAGGACTTAAAGCCTTTATATGCTGTAATGAAATGGATAAATTCATTTAATGTTTAAGCTAAAAGGCGCATTGATCAATTTTTCATGCTCAATTGATACCCGTAAACAGTAAATAAAATTTCTCTCCAATAAAAAGGATTTTCATTTATAATTCGAAGCGGCAATTCCAACTGAAATACGGAGCTGTAATCCACAGGAGCTGGCGAAATTGAAAACTCATAAATTGCCTTTATTCGCTGTCATTCCATTTGCAACAAAAGTGCTGGGGAAACAGAAACAGAAAGCGATTCGAATGCATCAATGGCAGTCCAGCAAAAATCCAAATGGAATCCCCACCGAGTCGGGCCAAGGCTAAAACGTTTCAGACATGGCTTGGCCAGCAGCCGGAATGTTGTTTTAGGCACAAATGCTATTTAAAAGATTTAAAAGCCCGTTCGACAAATCCCCACAACTCGCGCCAAAAGTACTCAATGAAATATATATATAAAAAATTCTATGGAAATGGCTCGCTTTTAACACAATCTCTTTAAGCATAACAAATTTGATTTATACCCATTCGATTGTGTTTCATCTTACACCTTTTATTTTTTGAAGCTATTAATTGCAAAAATCTGCCCACACTCATTCCATTTAATAATTGATGCATTGTTTGCTTAAAAAGCAAACGAAAATTTTAAGAAATTCAAGCATAAATCACTGCAAGATCTGTCTGCGTGGTGGGCGGAACGGGAAAGATATGTATAAAGCTGGTGCAGACATCGCTATATGATTTATGCGCCTAATAAATTTCTGCAGCAACATTCAACGCTAAAACTAAAAGATAAACTATCCACGGGGTTGCAGTTGCACTAAAACCCAGCTCGATTCGCGAATGACAGCCAGTGAATTGGAAATCGGCGAACAAACATTTTCATTACTCATACGTCATGGGGGCAGAACCAAAACCAAACGAGCCATCGAAAACATTTTGACAGATGCACCAGACTGCGGCACAATTTCGCATGGTTACATTTTTTAATACACAAACATTTCACGAACTTAGTTTTTTCCAGTCTGCCAGAGAATGGTTTCACACCGGTAGCCAAATAAAATTGTAGTTTTTCCAAAGGTTTTTAAAGTTTCACTATAAATAAAGTAGATGAATATAAAATACAACTCATTTGTAAGGTTTTTAAAGTTTCACTATAAATAAAGTAGATGAATATAAAATACAACTCATTTGAATTTTAAAATTTAAAGACTATCTTTGAATTACTCCAAAGACTTGATTAAAAATGCTTTAATTTAAAGGTGTCTTATATATTTAAGTGTATTTTATACATTTTTCCTGAACAGTGATATTTTTCCAAGAGGGAAGACCGTCCCGTGGAAAATGCTTTTTGTGGAGTAATGGCCGAGGTCGACACTTCAACGCCGAGTGCTAAAATAGATGCCTTACACATGTAACTCACGCGCACACATACGCGGGCGTACAAAGTCAAATACATTTGCCAGTTTTATGCTTTTCCGGCTCTCTTCCCCCGCGCCATTTCCCATTTTCCCCTGGCCAACGTTTTTATTGAAGTTTTCTCCCGTTCGCATCGCTTTTATCAAATGCAATTTACGGATCCCTGACATCGGGCATTAGCGCCGCGGCTGCCAAAGTCAAGTGAGGCTTGTTTAACGCACCACAGCAGCTGCTTTTGGCCCTCCCCTTAGATTTTCCCTGCCTCTCTCCCCACCTCCCAAATTTTCCCGTACCCCTCGCCAAGGGGCAACTTTTTTTCCCGGCTACTTTTCGCCTATGGCACTTTTCCACACGCTTTTATTGCTAATTTCTGTTATTGCCAACGTTTTGCGTGAGTTTCGCGCGTTGTCGTAAAAATATTTTTATTAGCCGATCGACGGGTGGCCCCGAAGGGGGCGGCATGGAAGGCCAAGGGCGTGGCCCCGCCCCTACATGTAGGCCCATTAATACCTTCAAGAGCTGATATATTCCAGCAAGGAGACACACTAGGAAGCATGTGGAATAAATTTTGGTTCTAGGTTTATGTTCTGATTTACACTTTCGCATAGATTTCTCTTAAATCGAAGAATATTTGTATACCCTTGAAGGGTATTCTAACTTCAGTCCGAAGCTTGTTACGTAGTGAATTTAACTGGATGTATGTATCTTTATAAATATAAAACCCTATCTCCCTTAAGACACACACGGCGTGTACTTAATTTAAGAGTTTTCACGTTAAGTATACGCCATGTATGCCCGCTGGCCGACCTGCTGTATGGACCTGAGCTAGTTTTAGTAAGTTTCCTTCTCGTTCATTTCACTTTCAGATTAAATTAGGAGATATTACTTAAACTGTTCTAGCACCAAAACTATGTATTTTTTACCCCGCCACTTAAACGGCGAATCACTTATTTATTCAATGGCTTCCAAGTGGAATGGCCAGGTTCAATGTTGGTGAAATTTACGGGCAAGTTTGTACCAAGACATCGTAAAATTTAAGTGGTCCCGAGCCCCTGCTCTTCAAATCACTTTAATGGCTACGGCCAGTTAATAACCAAATTTGTCTGCTCAGCTTAAACGTTAAACCCAATTGCTAAGAGATGCGAGATGAGCTCAACAAAATCGAGGGCCAGACGCACACCGGCAACGAGCTGGGCTACCCTGACTGATGTTATGCGATTTCGTGTAATTTGTGTAATAAATATAAAACTTGTATTATTATTACAACGCGAAAAGGGACCGAGGAGCAGCCTCAGAGCTGGGGTAAACATGGTTACTTGCTTGGTTTGTGAGTTGTCATAAAACGCCATTCGCTGGCAAGTGTTGTGCACACAGAATGCATTCAGTTTGTCATTACCCATGTCCCCCAAGGATTCGCCCTTCCCTTTCCGCAGCACACAACCAATTTGCAATTCTAGATTTTATGTGCTCCGTTTTCGTAGCACACTTTTCTGCGCTCCCTGCTCCTGCTACTGGCTGCATCTGCTTTTGTTGTTTTTGCACTTGTCACATCGGAACATAAGTGCAGGCAGCAATTTGCCTAAACGATAAGATTACAGTACGCAAAGAGGGAGGGGCGGAACAAATCTGGATTTCCACCACCTGACAAGTGCTATGTGCTGTTTCAACTCCAAGTCCAAGTATCCTTGTATTGCAGCCAGCAGCAGGACATTGCACATCCTGTTCGAGCATGACTGCACATCGATTGCTGTCACAGAATTGTAGGAGCAATATCATCAGGATGAGCTCTCACTCACACACACACAGAAATCTTTTATTTGTTTTGGCCAAGTGTATATTTACACACACACACACCTCATTGTTGTTACCTGGAAATCAAAAACAACATAAATATGGGCAGGAGATTGCCATTGATGGCTTATTTGCAGGAATTTATTAGCATGTATTGGATTTTATTGAAAAATTCAAAAAGTATGCAAAAAGAAAACTTATAAATTCCATATGGAAACGATTCAAGGCTCTAGAAATACAATTTTTAGCTTAAAAAAATCAAATTAAAAACTACACACTTGATATATAAAGTGTTTCTTTCAGATCTCAAGTTATAAAAACTCCCTACTATTACCCCAAACAATAAATTATTCAATTGATAAATTGCAGTTAAAAATACATTACCCGAACTAATACCTTAACTTAACTTAACTTAACTTTTTTAACCCAATTATTCTAGACACGCCATCCTTAAACACTCTCATACAAAATCAATAGAATCAACAATATATACATATGTGAAACCGTTTAAATCAGTGCAACTATGTTATCTCCGGCAACTTTAATGGCCGCAATCTGGTGGAAAACCAATTAAGTTCGCATCCAAACGGACCGTAAAACGCAAAATCGCAAAGTACTCATGGGGAGGCCGTGTGTGCCACTCACACACTCATACTCAGACACTCATACACTCACACACAAACCCACACACTCAGAATCTCAAATTTATGAGCTCTCCAAAAGCAATTTGATTGACTAACGAATTTATTTGTGGCGTTTCAGCGGAAACAGCTCCAGCTGCAGTTGCTGCAGAGGCAGCCATGAGCGAGCACATTGGCAACAGCACAACCAATGGGAGTAGTTCCAGTTCCAGCACCACTGGCCACACGGCCGTGGCCGAAAGTGCGGCGGAGAGCGGTCCGGACTTTGACGCCCTGCGAGTTGCCTGCGAAACGCGGCTAAATGGTAGCGGTCATCTTTCGGGTGAGTCTCCCTCTCTTTGCACAGTGAAAAAATATCATTAAACTGCCGGCAGTCATCCAAAGTAAAACAATTAAAAAGTATACCAAATATGCCTTAAATGCTGGTAATTTCGGTAACTTTCTTCCTTAAAAAATAGTCTTCGTATTAAAGATATATATTCTAACTTAAGCTTACTAAGCATTAGATATTTTTATGATATGCCAGAGTTCTCTGCGTGCAAACTGCAATTTTGGTGGCCCATTATGCTCGAGTAACTTTAAATTGCTGCCCCATTTCATTGCGTTCCCTTTTGCTACCAATAAACAGGCAGTGGACCCCGCTGTGCCGGCACCTTTGATGGCTGGCTTTGTTGGCCGGATACGGCCGCCGGCACTTCCGCCTACGAGCTCTGCCCGGACTTCATCACGGGATTCGATCCAACAAGTAAGTATAAAGTAACGCCAAGCGGCGCCTCAACTGTTTATTAAATTCCACAAGGCAACTTCCGTTACGGGGTCAGCCCTGGGATCTGCATATGACAGGGAATAACACACATACAATATATAGTACCAAAAGGGAAATGTATTTACACAGGTCTGAGGCAGATTTAAGCCCAGCTAGGTAGACTCTGTCTCCCATCTAATTGGCCTCATCCTAGGGCTCATCGTTAAATATCCATAAATATAACAGAAAATACACTCGCAGCCAGGGCAAATCAATTGGAAACTTGTTATGTTTATGCTTTGATTTTGTGTCGTATGGAAACATAAAATATTCACGGGACCCCACCACACCCACACAACACACAACCAGATGGAGCCGGTTCCCGAGCTCCTTGAGTCACTAAATTATCCAAGAGAGTGCTTGGCAAAATGCTAAAATGTTTTCGGCTGATTTGCCACAATTTACCGAGTTTTTGCCGGAATAAAATGAAATGTCGAAAACAAGGCCAAATTGTTTGTGGCTCCTGGGAAAAAAGTTAAATTCAAGAAGGTAATGAAGGAGAAGATACATTTAAAGCTTCAAGTATATTTAAATTTAAGGAATGGAAATCCATATAAAGTTGTATTTAAAGTGAGGCCATTAATCAGTTTCCTTTCGACAAGGTGTTGCTGGCAGCTGATGATGCCACTTGAAATATAATAACTATCCTTTAGTTATTCAACTCATTGCTGAATCATTAATTGGAATATCCGGCATCCGGCGAAAGTGACTTGAATTATTTGTCATCTATCTCCCTCATAATGCGGTTTTAATAAAAGCAAAATGCATTAATAAAGCACAACCTTAATGGCTGTGGGAGCGAAACAAAAACTAATTAAATATGCAAGGAAAATGTTGATAACCTCGGGCATTAAAACAAACATTAAAAAATAATGCAAACACTCGCTGGAAATGCCATTTGAATAAATGAAAATTTGTATAAATATTTGAAGGAATTTATGGAATAAATCATTTGCCGTGCGCTGCATGTCAATTTGCATTAATGGAGGGATGTGCAATATGGGCCAAGCCAACAAGCCACCAGCTTAAGACCCGTCCCCTTCCAGCTACCCCGTTTTTCGACCATGACCAGGACACAAAAATAGCTAAAGTTGAATGACTTTTTTTTCGGTATGCCATAGAGAAAGAGAAAAAACACAAGGCGAAGGAGCGAGGACCGAGAAAGTGCTACTTTCACTACATTTAGCCTGTGGTTGGCGACGTTCATCCCCTCTTGGGGTCACCGCCAGCTTGTACGAGATTATGTGCTTTGGCACTGCGCCGCCATTAACTTTTATGGCACTTCCGGTCGCCGGATGTCGATGTGGTGAGCTACGGCAGCGGGAGTGCGCTCCTTCTCTCTCTCTCACTCAGCTACTTGTCTGCCACACAGCGCGTATACGTGATTTTTTCCGTATGCGTGCCAAACGACGATAAATGGGTTTCAACGAAAGATCATCATCAGCGGTCGCTAGAAGCCGGAAAAAACCGTACAAGCTGAGAAAACTCACCTTTCAAATTCCCTAACTGGAATGCAGCCATTGGTATTTACAGCACTCTTCCGCAAAATGCCACTCGAAAGGAAAACTGCACCGAAAACTTGGTAATTCGCAGTCGAACAGCACTCGACATGCCACAGGCAAAAAAAAAAAAAAAAAAAATATTTTTTTTCTTCTTCACAAACTTTGCCTTGATTGGACTTGAATAAACCCTGGTTTTTAGGTAAACAACAACAACAGGATGGTTGTGCAATTTTTAATTCATGTATTAAATGGATATACAGTTTTGTTTCATATTCTGGCCACAACACTTGTTTGTGGTTGGCCCGGTGGCACATGCCATAAATCATGGCTAATACAATTTAAATACGCTGGCTAGCCGCTAAAGGTAAATACGAGATGTGCAAATATGAGCAATATTTATACAAGAGTCAATCAAAAAATCACGCATATTAAGTGTGGGTAAATATTTGTGATGCAGTGAATTAATTGTAGAGAAAAAATACAACGAAATCATAGGGGAATTTGATTTAAATAATATACATAACGCTCCTATGTTCCGCTTATAATTATTATTATTTCATGTATAAACCTTTATTTTATCCACAGGATATGCACACAAGGAGTGCGGAATGGATGGCGAGTGGTTTAAGCATCCGCTGACTAATAAAACATGGTCCAACTATACCACCTGCGTGAATCTGGACGACCTTGAGGTAAGTGGATCCTGCGGAGGAAGCGTGTTTAATTAATTGGAATTTATCATCTGCAGTGGAAGCACAATGTGAACCTGATCTATGAGATTGGTTACGGCATCTCCCTGCTGGCCATCCTGCTGTCGTTGGCCATATTGGGTTATTTCAAGTAAGTTTCCTCCCACATATTCTTTAGCCAGCAACCAGCATCCAGCATCTCACAATCCCCAACAATCCTCCAGTTGACAACCATCGCTGGGAGCATGAAAAACCACTTGCGGGTAATGAGGCTCGCCGGTCGTTATATTATGACTGCTGCTGGGCGCCTGGCGCCAAAAACCAAATTTATTGACGGCAAGCAAATGCGACAGTGGCTTAATCAACTGCCAACCTGAATGTGCTTACTGTGCTCACTTAGTGTCGGAAATGAGAAAATATTTTAGCTCTAGCTTGTTTTTTGTTCACAAAACACTTGCTGCAAGCAGGATATCGATTAATTTCCACAGTGCCGGCAGACCAATTAGTGCTCTGGGTTTTGTTTATCGCCCAGCTCAGCCCAGCTCAGCTCATTCGTCTGGAGATGAGGATAAAGAACGGATAAAGGATGCTGCAGCTAGATAGAGCCATATCCCAGATAGAATGTTTAAAATTGTGTGCGAGAGGCAAATAAAGCCAGGCTGCTGTTGCTGCTGCTGCCGACGTGTGGGAATTTCAGTTTGCCCTAAAAGAGGGGATAATTAAAAGTTTAATGACAAAGCAGCGTGACCAAATGAATGAATGAATACAACCTCCCCATTCACTTCAAACGAATGTAATGAAAATTCCAGGGAATTTCATTTTCAATTAAAAAAAAAAAACAATTTAAATTGGTGCATTGAAGCAAAATACAATAGGTGTGGCTGTCTGTTTAAATGAAATGAAAAGAAAATTTGGGATAAATTAGGTGTGGGGAATCTATTACAAACTCAATTGTATATATATTTTGTAACTATATTTAACTTTATGATTTAAGTCCCGGAATTAACCTGTCTTTTATATTTTCTTCCAAAAAACATCCCTCAAAATCAAGTTTTCTGATAGTAATACTAAAATCTGGCAAAACAAAATCGAATTGTAGTGGTTGCAACTAGTTTCCTCTTCAGTTTGACCTCAATTGAAGAAATTGAGCAAGAATTCTCTATCTCTTGGCAGTTGGAAATGAACTATAGCCTTTCTATTCCAACAACTGCTGGCCAATCCAATCTGTGGCGACCAACCGCCTTGTGGTAAAATGCAAATTCGTTAGCAGACAGAATTGCAATTGTGGAATACCTCGAAATGTACTCCCTTCTTCCTTCTTAACAAAAAAGTGCCTGCCAAAGTTATTCTATACGCATATTTGTCATTCGATTATCCTGACCAGGTCCCTGAAGTGCGCCCGAATCACGCTGCACATGAACCTGTTTGCCTCGTTTGCCGCCAATAACTCCCTGTGGCTAATATGGTATCTGCTGGTCATGCCGAACACGGAGCTGCTTCAGCACAGTCCAGTAAGTGGGCGCACCTGGCGTATGCGCAATGTTTCGATTACCATACCAAATACCCATATTCATGTCCATTTTCCCCCGTTTCTAGATCCGCTGTGTGGCACTACACATCAAGCTGCACTACTTCCTGCTGTCGAACTATTCGTGGATGCTGTGCGAAGGATTCTATCTGCACACAGTCCTGGTGGCAGCCTTCATATCCGAGAAACGCCTGGTCAAATGGCTGATCGCCTTTGGCTGGGGCTCGCCGGCTCTCGTCATATTCGTATACAGCCTGGCACGCGGTCTGGGCGGCACGCCCGAGGAGAATATGCAGTAAGTGAAAAATGCAGGGGATGGATACACTGGAGAAAATTGGTGGGCATAGGTTAATATGTTAAAAATCTCGTAGCTAAGCCAAAAATTCGGAAAGCTTTCCTACGCCAGTTTTTAATCGGTTAATAATCCCTTATAAAATGTTGAAAAAAGAGGTAAAAATTAGTATTGTTTCTGGATCAACTCAAGAATTGATTTCTTCACATTGTTACAAGCTTCAAACTTAAATTGGTTTACCCTTTCTATAGTAATAATAACAATACATTTTAAATTCATTTAAACTTCTTCATAAATGTAATTTTAACATTTATATCTAAGTTATATTGCTTTCCCAAATACGTATTGATTTAATCATCAATTCGACCTGTGAATCACATTTCTCCTTACCCTCCTTGCAGCTGCTGGATGAACTCCACCGACTATGATAATATCCTGGTAGTGCCCGTTTGTATCTCGATGTTCCTCAACCTTCTGTTCCTCTGCAATATTGTGCGTGTGGTCCTGCTGAAGCTAAATGCTCCGGCCAGCATCCAAGGCAGCTGCGGACCATCCCGAACCGTCCTGCAGGCATTTCGGTAAGTTTCAACCTGACACAAAAAAACCAAACAAAAAAAAAACAAAAACGAAACGAAAACAAAAGAGCAATGAATACCTTTCCCCCAAAACCTGTGGAGAACTCTCAAATGGCCCACGAGCGAATGCGTAATTATATTTTCGTTTCCCTTGTATTTATTGTGACGGACCCCATCTCTCCTCTGTCAAGAGCTCTTTTATTGTTTATACGTTCTGCACTTGGAAGTTTGCTTCATTTTACATTTTAAATTACCCATACGCAGCGTTGACTTGCATGTTAATACACACACCCGAAAACGAAGCTAAGAAACAAAAAATAAAAATAAAAAAAACAAGGCATTATAATACGTCCGATTCCCCTCATCTCATCCTCGTTAGGGCCACCCTGCTGCTGGTTCCCCTACTTGGCCTCCAGTACATCGTTACGCCGTTTCGCCCGGCACCCGGACATCCCTGGGAGAATACATACGAAATCATCTCGGCGTTTACGGCCTCGTTCCAAGTAAGTAAAATGTTTTCGTTCGGGCTTTTTGTTTCGCACGGTTTCATAAAATCACTTTACGACTCTGAGCCAGCTGAAAAGTTATGATGTTAGTGTTCACTTTTTTTTGCAACTGGGAATGCAAATAAGCCCGGCTCTGGGCATTACTGGGATGCCGTGGAACAAGCTCATTAGATCCTGAAATCAATAATAAAAAAAAATGCATGCCATGTGGAATTTTCGCCCATTTCCCCATTGGTATTTGTCCAAGACCTCGGCATATTAAAACGCTGGCAGAGATTGACCCGGGGTGATGCTTCCCGCTGGAAGAATGCCACGCTTCGCTCTGTTGGTTGCCCGGCAGCAAGTTGAGCATGAAATGCACTCCCGCATGGAGGAGGAACTCATAAAAGCCAACCGAGCTTGTCCCTCCGGCCAAGTCAGTCTCGATAGACCAGCATTTACAGTCAGTTAACATATTTCTCTTAAAGAACAGGAAAAAATCTCCAGCTGGCAGCAACACTCGCATCATCTAGATTAAGTCCCCCAAGTGTCTTATCGAACGGTGTCTCTGGTAAATGGTTTGCAGTCGCAGCTTAGCTGATTTGCAAATTCAAATGCAAGGTTCATTTCATTTGTTACATCAAAGGAAAAGGATGAAGGAAGTACATTTATTGAATCAAACGAAAAAGTGCGAAGTTCTCTGATAAATGAAGTGGTTTCACTTTGGTAAAACTTGTAGGTGAACTTGTTCGAATTGATGTTCTCCTTCACAGAGCGATTTCTTAAAATCTATATAGAATTCAAGGTCTTAGAAGTCTTTTAGAAAACATTTTTGTCGCCACATTAAAGACAATCCTGTATCTCCGACTGACAGTTGGCATTTTCAGCACATTTACAATCGTGACATTTCTAAAAATTGAATTCTTGAAATAAAAGCAAAAAGTCCATTATCCTGCGAATAAACATAAAACCTTCGTTGGGTGTGGCTTAGCTGCAGATGAGTTCTTTCTTTCTTTGTTTTATGTGTTTCAATGAACAATGTCACCTCTTCCTGAGCCGCTTTCGTCAGTGTCAATCGATTGATAAAATCTCCTTTTTGCGAGTTAAGGGACCTTCCTTGTGGCTTATTTATTTTATTTTTTATTGTCTTGTTTTTCTTTAGCCGCATTTGCTGGGGAAGATGGCAAAGTTTTCCCTTCGAGCTGTGCGGTTGCATATAATTTGGATTTATTGTGGCAGCCGTACTGAAGATGTCGAGAGTCATAAAAGATTCTCTGCAAGTTTTAAGCTCCGCAAAGAATATCAAATAATTTTTGACTCGGCTAAAGAGGGGGAAATCCCGGAAATACTTGCACTTAAATGAGAATTTATATACATTGTAAACGTGTTTATTCGGTTGTTTTTCTGCTAAAATCAGAAACTTGCTGCAATTGGCATTTCACAGCTTGTCAGCTTTTCCCCTGGCTCTCCTCTCCATTCTCCCAACCCCCAAAAGAGCTCAGGGACATTTGGTATTTAACAGATGTACAGACAGAACACGTTTTACTCAAATTGAATTAAAAACTTCCGCTTGGCAGAGAGCTAACAGGGAATAAACAAACGCCGGATGTCAGCAGAAGTAGTCTTGATATTTGAATGGCGTGGACTGTATTCCTGCCCAGGACTTTACTTTTTGACTACATTTTGGGAATCTCCTAATTGCTTTACTTAAGCTTATTAGCTGCCTAAAATGTTTTGCTACTATTTGGAAAACATTTAAGTCCCATCTTTGTTTAAGTTCATAAAGAAATTGCTCTCTAATCTAACTCCTAAAAACTTAAGCACTTTGTTTCTTAACTGAAAAGAAAAAAGAAACAAAATCTGTAATCTGTCCAAAAACGTTGTTTCAAAGAGAGCTCTTGAAAAATTGTACAAGGAGCAAAGTTTAAAAGGAAGCTTTATAAACGAACCGACAAAAAATACGGAATACAAAATAGGAGACAGTATAGGAACTGGTATCAACTAAATTCCAAGTCCTGCAAATATATTGTCTGTCTATTGTGTTCCACACACATTTCTATTATCCTTTCTGTGGTCAAGCATATTCCGGAACCAACTGTGCTAACCAAAACAACTAAATAACAACAAACTATGTGGAATGGGAAGCGTTTTACATAACAAAGGGAGCAAAGGAAGTCAAAACTGTTTTAGTTTCAGAATTAGCTAAAAGAGAACAGAAACAGGGATCGAGAGGCATATGAACACAATTTAAGTCCTGAAAATCCTGGAGATATTTCAGTTATGTTCAAGCAGCTTAGGATCTAAATTAACCTGAATTTTTTGACTTATTCCAAACTAAATACCACAGTATTCCAAATCAAAAATCTCTCAACTCATAGTCAGTAACTCAAATACCTTTTGGCGGCATCAAATATATTTTCCTTGCGAGCCCAAGAATCTTGAGCGAAGATAATCAGTAAAATGCCCGGAATTTCTACGTTTACAATCAAATAACGAAATGTCTTATTTGCAATATGCTCGGAAAGGCAACAAAAAACCCTATGCTGATGATGATGGAACTTGAAGGTAAAGACCTAGAGGAGCAAATGGTTGGCAACTGCGGCTGATTGAGTCCATGATGGGCCTCCGTGAGTAGTGGCAATCAAAACGAAGCCCCTCCACCGAAGTGCGAACTAGAAATCCTGCCGGCAGTCAATGCACGTACACCCGGCCATACATTAAATATTTACATATATAGTAGGATATGTATATGTGCGGCCGCCTGCGACAATCAGGCAGAAAGTGGAGAGACAAATGGCCAGCAGTCGGTTCGGATCGGCAGGACAAAGGACGAAGGACTAAAGTTCGCTCAAGTGGTGGTCGTCTGACAGGCGAAATGAATATTGTGCTAGCCGCGGGCCGAAGTGGGGAACATAACCAAAAGGAACAAGCTAAATTGTATTATGTATTGTATTAGGACCAACTGACGGGCAGCAAAGGACCAGGCAGAGAGGAGCTCTTGGGTAATAACGAATCTGGGAATACTCTTTTAGAGTATTTATTCCCAAGGGAGGTTTTAAAAATTTAAAACAAAAGAGAGAAACCTAAATGCCACAAGGTTTTTCTTTATATTTTTGTTTTATTTAAATCAGTTAGATCCGAGTCAGCTTAGAATACCTTTCGGTAGCGTATCGAAAAGGGACAAAAATAATAGGCATTGTAATAAGGACAACTGCGATAAGCTCCGACGATAATTTAGCCAGCTCACCCACTCTATTCATATTACATTCGTCCTTCTCCTGCTCCTTTCAGGGTCTGTGCGTTGCCACTTTGTTCTGTTTCTTCAACGGCGAGGTGATTGCCCAAGTGAAACGCAAGTGGCGGATGATGTGCTTCAGCAACCGGCCGCGGACAAACTCCTACACAGCCACTCAGGTCTCGGTAAGATTTCTACTAAAGCTTCACACGCTTTAAATTCCCTTTCTCCTTTCCCTTTTCCTTTCTTTATTTGACTTTGTACCATGGGCTACGGCGCGTATGCGTAATGCAGCAGAAACACTATAGTAGCTAGCACACTTTAAGCACACTCACACAGTTGATTGGCCTCTCTTTCGAAACGCATTAATCGCATGCAAATTATATAATAATTATAACTAAAAAACTAAAAAGCATTCGAGACAGTCACAGAAGCCGACGCACCGTTGCCAACCTGCCAACCACCATGATAGCAAATTCTCAGTTCTTTTGATTGTAGTTCGTGCGCTGCGGACCGCCACTGCCAGGAGAGGAGAAGGTATGACTAAAGGACATGTCGGTCAAGCGGCGAGCCTCCTCCGGCCCCCATCACCACCACAACAACCAGCAGCAGAATCCGGATCCGGACCAACATCGAGCACGCAGCCAGAGCCTGGCGAGTTCATCGACTTTCCTCGACGGCTGGCGCAGCCGGATGCCGTTCCTGAAACGCCGCCAAACCATCGACAATTCCCGCCAATGCCAGCCCCTCATGGAGGAGCGGGAGCTGACGCTGGCACCAGCCAAATCCGAGGTGGGTGTGGCCGATAGGCCGACATTGATGACAACCATTGCAGAGGATGTGGCCGAGGCGGTGGCAGCTGGGACATCCCAGGAACCGGTAGCTCCGGAATCACGCACCACCAGCGATGGCCACCAACCCAATACCAATCCCAGTCTCAGTTCCAATGGCATGGGCACGGTCATCGTGCGAATGGAGGGAGCTGGCCAACAGAACATGGCCGATGAGGCACTCTAGGTTGAATCCTTCGAGTCAAACAACATCTCATAGTTTAAGCCACTGAAATACCAAAACCAAAACAGGTCACGAACCCGAGCCCCACCAATAGTAGCAGCAGATCCTTAGAACCAGTTAATGTCCTACAAGGATGTCCCTCAAGTATATGGAGGTTTCAAAGTCATAATTCGGGTGCCCGAAAGTATGCATTTCCCTCGTTTTTACTTCTTTTCTTGTAAGAGATCTTTTTATAGTTTTTTTAATTTATCCCTTGCAATATTTTTATGGCATACTTGCTGTCACCCAAAGTATAGGTCTTACAACTTCCACATACTTTGATGACGCCGTCAGGAAAATTCCTGTGCCAGCTGAGGTTGAAATAAATTTTAGTGCATTCTGTAGCCGGGCTAAATGTTAAGTTTTCATAGTATATTCCTCAGATTACTTTGGTTTCGTCAGAATGCAAAATGCAAAATGAATTTCAGCCTCCGGCCGGTAAATGCAAACATATTTATTGTACCTATGAATGTAAGAATTTATGTGGATATCAAATATCATTGTTGTTTTAAGTGTTAAGTGTATCCTAGGACAGACCCAGACGCAGCACTCCCCCCTTCCCGCATAAATATATACATATATCTCTCTCTGTGGTAAGCTGAGCTTTCTGGCAATCGCTTTTAGTGTGTCTATGAATGTACGCAGATGTAATAAAATTTTAATTATATGTATATGTATGCTAAACATTTCCAAAGTACCTGTGGCAGCTAATTAGTCAACTTTCAGTTGGTTTAATGAATCCAGGAGCAGGCTGTCAGGAGCAGTAGGAGCCACAGCAAAAAAGCAAAGGCAAATGGCAATGGCAACGACGAAGCAGAACCTAATGCTCATTTAATGAATGCCATTTGAAGTGAGCTCCACAGCACTTGTTCCCCATGGACATGGACGGACGATGGCCAGGTTGAAAGCAAAGCCCAACAGGTGCTTACGGATTCCATTTAGCCGAAAATTTGTTTGTGTGGCAAATTGAAGCCTTATTTGAAATGAACGAGAATGAGAAGTATTTGACTTCAGGGAAAAACAAAATAGGAGGAAATTATGAAATCCTAGGTAATTTGTGTAAAGCACGCTCGAGTCATTTAAAGACTTTCAACTAGTAAGTATGGGTAAGTTTTATTGAAAATTTGTGTAAATTGTTCCGTACTTTATGAGCTTTCAACTGTAAAATTATAAATTAAAGTTTAGTTGGGCTTAGAAGTAAAATTATTAAGTACCACAAGAGCTATAAAAAAAAACTACTAAAAGTACCTGAAAAAATATTACAAAAAGACAAAATATGTGTCCAAACTGGGCCCAGGACAAAAGCCAATGCCCACATCAGGCTACATTGCAGTGCTGTCAACATTTGTTGACACTTATTGAGGACTATCCGTTGAGGTCTGGCTCTGGCTTGGCCATTTTCTGTTGCTGGTTTTTAATGATGTCCCTGCAAGTGGCACAATATGTGAGTGGGAGTGAATGTGGCACCCGCCCAGTGATTGTGCTGCAGACACGTGTCCTCACTGTTGGCCCATTGTGCCGCACAATGTTTTATGCATGTAAAGTGTGTGCTATAAGTGGCATTTCCACATTGTACACTATCAGTGTGCACTAGCAGCACTCTCTAACTATCTCTCCCCCTCTCCGCTCCGCAAAAACACTCATAATTCCGTAGATTATTCGCGCCCGAAAGCATAGAGTGAACATGATGCTGTTTACAGTCCAGGTTGATATCGCGCATACGCCACGTATGCGCCGGGAGTAAACTTTCCCCATCAGCGAGCGAGGCAACTGGCAAATGAACTGTTTAATTCACCATGTGTTTGTACGACTTGAGGGCTGACAACCGCCATCGAAAGTGAGTTTTCCAGAAGGGAAAACATTTATGAAAGCCGCTCGAGCGAGATATGGGCCGAGACAACAAGCGACTTATTTCACTTACCGAGCTAATCTTGCATCAAGTTGCTTACATTAAAGGAAAGACGTGCAGAAACTTAACTGAAAGAGTGCAAACTAATCACAGAGTTAGGAAAAAAGTTAATATTTTATTCAATTTAATATATTGGAAAATATTTCCTGTATGAAATTTGGTTAAAACTAAGATGAACTTGAATAATATTGTATTTGAAAACAACCAAAATGGTAAGAAACTTTTAAGCAAATTTAATACATTTAAGTAAGGAACTTATTTTAAGTAAACTTTATTTCTACATGAATTTTGTTGGTTAGTAAGTTAATCCTTTGAACGAGCTTTTCCTTTCGAATTTGATCAAATTTAAAGCAAGAGAAATATGACAGTAATATATGAAAGAGGAACTTGATTGATCATAAAATTAGGTAAAATTGAAAATATTAATAAGAAACAATTATACCAATCAATCAAATTAAAAGAGTACAAAAAGCTATAAAAAATGTGTTTAAGGTTTAAAGAAATGGTTTTCACTATCGTAATGGCCTGTGCTGGTGTATTTTGCGTGACTCGCACATTCTGATGTTAAGGGGATAAGTGCATTGCGTTGGCCTTCAACTGAAATTTATGGTGCGGTAGGTCACAAATAATGCATAACCTGGCCAAGTTGCGAGTGCCTTTTGGAGTTGGGGAACTGTTGGCCAAGTTGTTCTACTTTTGGCTTGGGTTTCGTCTTGATTTTGACTCTGGTTACGGGTGGCCGCCTGGCTTTGGCAGTGATTTTTTTGTTTGGCATTCGAGAGTGCACTTTAATTAAAAATTTTACCAAACCCAAAAGGGTGTGTGTGAGTGTGAATGAGTGTTTGAATAGAGTTTCGCATACACCCTGGTGTGCGGCTTTTAATTGAAGTGCTGCCAGAGTTGAGGCTGCTGTTGTCGCCTGTGTATTTGCATAATGAACTCAATTAAAAGTTGGATACTTCGTCACTCCCAGCCCTCTGAGGTTAGACTTAAGCTACTGGCAGGAACTGTTTAACATGGCTCTCCTCTGACTTTGCCTCTTCGCAGCTTACTCCTTTCTGTCCTTGAGCAGCAGCTGCATTCGCTGTCCCACCAATCCCAGTGGCTTGCGGGGCACTAGATGACACGTGGATTGTCTGGAATTTATAGCGGGTTACATAGGGATTTATTTTCCAGGTTTAATACTCATACTTGTAGATGATTTTTTCACGGTCCGCCCAGGGCCAGGATCGTTCCAGCTTATCCAGTCTAAAGAGCAACTGTTTAGGGGGAATAAAGTGTTTAATATTTTAAGATAAACATTACTTCAAAATGTTGTCTATTATGAAATTAAATTTTGATAAAATCTTGTTAAAAATTCCACAAGAATCAGGTGTGACTGTTGAATTTCTGAGTTAGCTGATTGGAATGCGTGTCGGCAGCCATTACCTTTTGTGTCTGTCCTTCGGCGGAGTCCTGGGATGGGGCCTGCGGAGTGGGCGTGGCAGGGCGCACCTTTGATTGTTCCTCCTGCTGCTCCCGCTTTTTCTCCTGGCCTTGCTTCAGCTCCTGCTCCAGCAGCTCCTTCCTTTGGTGGCCCAGTGTCAGTTCGCCCTCGGCCTCGGCATCGTTAATGCGCACCTTGGGCACATTGCGCAGATTCCAGGTGTAGGTGGTGCTCAAGAAGTCGCTGTCGCTATCCTCATCCTCGGAAGGGAACGCCTCTGGCAGTTTGATAAAGTATACCGCCTCGCTAGCCTCCTCCAGCTCATCCTCGGTTGCCGTGTCATCGCTTGCCTCATTTGAGGGATAATTGGCTTCCGATGCATAATCCGATTCCGGCGTGACATCCTTCAGCAGCTTTGATTGCTTGACACCTTCAGCAGTAGCAGAATCCTCCTCATCATCCACATCCTCATCTTCCTCCTCTTCCACCTGCACCAAATCATCCTCATCACTGTCTGTGTCACCTGGCTCTTCTCCATCATCCCTAAGCTCGAAGTCAAGGACATCCTCGTCATATGAGAATTTACGCTGCACATAGGCCTCCTCCGCATCCGCATCCTCATCCGCCTCCGACTCGCTTATCCTGCCAAAGCTTTGCGAGACGGTGGCCAAAGTGGAGGTCAGAATTTTTGGTATTTCAGCTATGGCCGACAGCTTTCGTTGCATCTCCAGCAGGCGCATCTCAATGGAGCTGGCCCGTATCCGTCCTAAAGGGTAACCATCAAGGTTGGGGGATGTGGGATGTTTTCAGGGGATTTGTAATTTATTAAAGCCACAAAACACAGACACAAAATATCTAAAATTATATACATAAATGGGAAAGAGAGAACCCTGCACTGAGCGAAAATATACCCACAAGTCAGAAATTCCGATTGCAAAAGCTAGGAAATTAATAAACTCTCTGAAGGCAAGGGATTTTCCTGATTTAAGGATGATATTTTATCTCAGCGCGGTGGTGTTAAGACAACTGCCAGGGGTTAAGCCGGTTCAGCTGGCACTCCCCTCACTTGGCCTTGGAGGCGCTGGGCAGGGCCAGCAGCATATTCTCGATGGTGCTGGTGCGTAGCTCCTGGTTGTCGCCCACCTCAGCGAAGAAACGCCGGATGTTCCGCACGATGCGATGGTGGGGCAGCTCCTGGACACGCACGAAGGAGTTACACGGGGATCGAGGACAGGCAGCGGAAGGTGGAGACCAGTGACCGGATACGGAAGACCGGAAAAAACAACAGGGGGGAAAAAAGGTATGGGTTAGTTTCGATGGCGTGTTGTTGTTGGCATGCAATCGTGTGGATGCTTCACCTGCTCCTCCTCGTCCGAGGACTCATCCTCGCTAAGCTCAATGACCACCTCGTTGCCCTCGTCGTCCAGCTGGGTTTTGGTTTTCTTTTTCTTGGGCTTCGGCGGCTCCGGGGGGTCTTGCCACATTATCGGATGCCAACAACGCGAGCCAAGCAGGGGGGTTGGGTGGAAGTCTACAAAGAGATACAAAGCCAAGTGAGTATCAAGGGGCACAGCTTTCTAACTTAAATAAGACGGATTTCTCTTTGTTGTGTATTATGTTTATATTAATTCCATAATATATTTTCTTTTCTGATTAAAATGGGGTTGACGTTTTGACGGCAACAAAGTGTGTCCAAGTAACTAGGCTAAACTACTTACCACTTGGCGGCGGCAAAGGCTTGGGAATCCGCATTACAATCGACTTCTCCTCGCCGGCCTCGAACTGGCCCATGGGATCATCCTCCTCCATGCTGTTCTCGGAGGTTGGAAAGGAGACAGTGGTTTACTCATTACATAAGTTAAACGTTGGCCCAAAGAGAGAGAGCCATGGGGAAGAGGATCTGGGGCAACCTACTTGCGCAGCAGGAAATGTATCTTCTTGGGCGTTGCGTTGATTTTCTCGTGGGCCTGGGACAGTGTCAGCTGCGTGGCGTCCTCCTCGTTTATCTCGAGTATGATGTCGCCCAGGCGAATGCCCGCTTTGTCGGCCAGACCGTCGGGGGTCACCTGCAAGTCCAAAAAGGATGAAATCGAGAGCGAGACTGCCGAGGCCCCCTTTCGGGTCCTTTCACTTTCCGCGGATCGGGCAGAAACCGCACGTCGCGAGATTCGAGGCGCAATTGAATGGGCTTTTGCGTACTTTTGAGTTTGGGTTCGGAAAATATCGCGTATACGCGATGCGTGGACGGACGACAGATACAGATGACATCTATACGAGATGGGCTAACTGAGACAGCTGCTCCCGAAAAGAAACCCCCAGAAATAATGAAAAACAATAAAAATTGAAAGCAAAACATACACTCGAGGCGGCATTTGCGAAGGCGCCAAAATCGAAGCGATAAATACCCTGGAAAGTAAACTATAAAGGGATGTAAAAACTAATCCAGATTATAATCAAGGGAAGTATTGTATTTATGAAAGATAATTAATAATAGGAATGTAATTAAATAAAGGAAATATTGTTAAAAGGGAAACTTTTACTCAATAAAAAATATATAGAAGCAGAATTTACATAAAAGTTAGTTTACTTATTATTTTAATTTAAAATCCAAAATATTTCCATTATATTTTCTATAACAAACCGAGCTCATCATACCTTACAGACACTTGCCCTCAATAAGAATTAAATTCAAAAATAAAACAAACAAAGCAGTTTTTCTTTTAGACAAAACGAGAGACGTCAAAAGTAAAATGTTTCTCAAAAGCCGAAAGCAATACTAATAGTTGTGTGTGCCTTATGGGAAAACACTTTACCTACATATATAAAACAGTGCTCGTCAGGGAAATAGGTTGAAAATATGTTTATTAAAATATTTAACATATAAATCAAGATTACCCTACAGGAAATTCTCATAAATATTTATACATTTTGTATAAAGTGGGATATATTTCACAATACTTTCAAGTGAATCTTTTGAAATCCAAGCCATATTTCAATGACTCTCATGGTAGGCATTATTTATACATATATGAAAAAAAGAAGTAGAACTCGACTAACCCAAATATTGTACATTCACTCGAAACTCAAGTGAGCCAAAAGAGATACAAACAAGGCAGAACGGAAGACGGGGTGCGGCAGGTGCAGATGCCAAAAACAATATAATGTTCAGTTCTATATGGCGGCAGACAATTTGCATTCGATGTGACTTCGTCATAGCATAATTGGAATTCAAATTTGACTTCAGATTGCTTGTCGTTCTGGCCCACGACCAAAAATCAAAATAACAAACAACAAAAAATGGAAACAATGACGAAACGGCAATTGCAGCTGTCTAAGAGCTACAGTGAAATCTGGCTAAAAGAATTTCCGATTGCCAATAGACATAGCTCAGCATGTTCTCAGCAATATTTTATAGTCAGCAGTAGTATCACAGTACCTCTCTTCTTGTTTATTATTCATTATTATTATTGATTGATGTTCTTTATAACCCAATGTTGAAAGGGAACACAGACTGTATCCCAAATATTGCTTCAATTTAACCAGCTGCCATCGTTCCCAGGAGGAACCTAGAGTAGTTGGAGGAGGACAACTCACCTGGAAGACTGTTAGCGGCATATGGAACTCGGCCCCGCCGGTGATGAGGAAACCCCATCTGGTATCATCCTTGGAGGCATACGCATCCGAGTCAACGTCGAAGGCGGGGAAGCCATCGGTGTCACCGATGCCGCAGGATACCTTGATAACGGGCGCCCTCTTCCGCGTCTCCGGCACCGACCAGACCAGTCCCAATGGCTCCGGCATCGCTTTTTCTGTTTACTCTTCGAAGAAGAGACGCCGGATCTCTCTTCCTAGCCGCTGGTTTTATTTATAAATTCGCACTCGCGCCGGTGGCACTCTTTTGCTTCCTCCGTTTGTTCACTTTTCCTATTTTCCGCTTTTCTATTTTCTCAGCCTCACTCTCTTTGCCTGCGGAACTTTTGGTTGCTCTTTTTCCCAGTAGTTGTTGTTTGCCTGCCCGCCTGTCAAAATTTCGCCCGTGCAAAAATATTATTTGTATTTTGCCGGCTTTTCAGCAGCAATCTGAATAGAGCTTTGCTTTTCCACTTTTTCACTTTTGTTGACTGAAACTTCGACTCTGCGGCAGAATCTTGTTAAATTTTGTGGCTTATATAATCACCAGAATTATATAATCATTAAATCTTGAACTGCAAGTGCGCGAAAGTGCAATGGAAACTCCAAAAATGTGAAAGACTCAAGACCACAGATATTTGGATCACTTTGAGGGCTAATTATGGATAGTGTATTTAACACTTTTTGGCCTTTGGCTGTTCGGTTGCTTATTTTTTGTGTGCTCTTTTTTGGCTTCTTCTCGTTTTCACTTCCACACGACTGCACTCGACTTGGGCAACTGAAATAATTTTCGAGAAGTTTTCCTTTGTGGCTGCAACTATTCCATTTTCCTCTCAGTCTCTCTTGCCGTCTCCTCTTTTTGGCGTGTTTTTCCCTTTTTTTAGATAATGTTCCACCGCGAAATTGTTGCATTTATTTTGCTGTTTTTTTTTTTTAACTTTTCTTTGGGTTTGTTTGAGAGTTTTTCATGGTGTTAGTTAAAAGCTGAAATTCTGTGATCGTGTTTTTTACTATCGTAAGTTCTTTGTGCAAGCCATTTGTTTTATTTTAATGCTAAATCAATAAAAATCTAAGAGACGGGATAAGTTTGATTTGTCATGCCTAACTAACAATTTAAAGTCTAAAAACTCATAGCTAAGCCAAACTGCATTAGTTTCAAATTGTTTTTTTATTATTTTTTCTTATGTTTATAAATCTGCATTCTAAATTAAACATCTTAAAAAATTCAATTTTTTGTCAAATTTTGACAATTGTAACGATGTAACCCCTTCTGATAAAGATTAAATGACTCCTTCAGTGCGTTTTAAACTTCTGTCTAAAATTATAATAATAAAATGTTTTTCACTGTTCTTGCAAATATTGTCACGATAAAAAGATTTTGGTGTTGACACAGATTTGGAAATTTATTTCTGTTTTAAATTCAAAGCAGTTAAAATAAGTTCGTCAGGTTTGTCCATACAGCTGGTCAGCTAACGGGCATACATGGCGTATACTTAACGTGAAAACCCTTAAATTAAGTATACGCCGTGTGTGTCTGGACAATGTAACCCTTAATAAAATTTTTAAATTTTTCTCAGACATAACTAGATCGGCATATGATGCTGATCAAGAATATATATAGTTTATAGGGTCGGAAATGACTCCTTCCTTGTGCAACAAGCTTCTGACTGAAATAATAGTACCAAGCTATAAAAATCTATATAAATCGATAAAGCAAGCAATGGGAATTGTAGTTGAAAGGAAACAGCTGTTGCTTTATTTTATTTCCTTATTAAAGCATTCGTGATTGGCCGCACACAGGTGCCCTGACATATCAAACTATCAGGTATTAAAGCCACGTAAACAACTTGAACGTGCCAAGCTCACAAGCAAAGTATTCCGCTTGTCAAGTAAACAACAATGGAAACTCTGAATTTCATATGTGAGAGAAAGAAAATTTCAAGAGAAAGGCCCCAAAAACCAGTCACACACACACACCTGATAGAAAAAATTCGATTAGCACGGGGAATACTGCATACTGACACAACCTACATATCCATACATACATACATATAGATGTTCAAGAAATAGTTCACACAAAATTTGTTGTTTGGCCAGAAAGGAGTGGGCCCAAAAACGTGCCTTATCAGCCACAACAGCAACAACAATAAAAGCTGACAGCCAGGAGACAGACAAAAGGGATGCCGCCAGCAAAAAATTTGCCAGCAAAGTTTTCAATATCCCAAAAAACGTCAGAAAGAGTGCAAAATGCAGATGACACAAGTCAAAACACAGGCTACACAAAAAGACAACAAGTTATGCGTTTATGCCTAGGTTGTTTTACTTTAAAAATTATTTTTCAAATATAATTTTATAGTAATTTTATATTTACTTCACAAAATTTATCAAACAATTTCATGAAATACACTGCATTTATTTAACTACTATTACGTCTTTTTTAAATCTAAAAAATATATGGTAATGAAATAAAGTTCATGAAATTTTTACGGCATAAACTAAAATCGAACTGACACATCTTCGGTCTGAGTTTGGCGACATTGACGCCGCCGTCTTGATAAGGATGGTATTAGCGATAAGGCCACAGATGACAAATGGATCAGGGCTGAGGAAAGGGGAGGTAAAATGAATTTCAAAGGTAATATCAGCTTGGGGAGTCTATAGACTTTATTTAAATTCATAAGGTTACACCTCATTTCATGGCTTTTTTAAATCATCTCCTCCTTTGCGTGTGTCTGTCCTTTAATTGAGCACAAATCGCATACATATCTTCTATTTCGATTTTAACACTTATTAAAGGGTTCTCCTCCAGATCCTTAAAGTCCTTTTTGGGGCAAATGGTGGCAAGAAGTTCTAAATTCCTATACTTTTCCTGTTCTACGGATCTTCGTCTCCTAAGGTTGATCTGTTCTCCGGATTCGTTTTCGGAGTGGTTCCCTTCTTCGAATGAGAGCAAATCACTGGAACTGGCATCCGTATCGTAAGACTTATCCGTTTGCTCCTCCGAGTAGCTGTCTGGGGGCTTGAGATCTTCGGCGCTATCCACCTTCAGGACGCTTTCCGCACTCAACTCTGGCTGCCAGTTCTCCTCCTGACTGGCTGGTATAGCAGATGCCGCACTCAGTACGAGGACTGAAATCAGCAGCAACAATACCGATCGATGCATTTTATATATTTTTATTTTATATTATATAAAGTAATGGCTCCTTCTTTCACACAACCGTTGGTGACAGTTTAATTTTTCATACTGACTTCGACATTTGACAAAGTTTGCCCAAGAAACCTCTTCACATTTACTATCGCACGTCGGCGATTATGTGATTATTGACTCAAATGCTATTAAAGCAAAGCATCCATCTACCATGACGAGACAGATAACAAATGAAAAAAATAAAATAAAATAAAACAATAAATATATTGCACATAAATTGAACGCAATTGCTGAAACATTTAATTTGAATTATAAAAGCAGCTCAATAAGTAAATCAGCAAAATATTTTTGATTTAAGATTTCATTTTCTTGGAAATAACATGTTTACATTTTTAATGCAATTAAGGATTATTCCGAATGCCATTATAAGAAATTAACCTAAGAAAAGTGGAAATACTCGTGTTTTTTTTAGTGTTTTTAATTTAAGTTATAGATATCAGTAATACCGGAACATTAACCCATCATTGATATGACATTGACAAGTCTGTTTTGGTAGGAATGGTATGACTGATAAAGCACATTTCCGTCTGCATTTCAGTTAAAACAAGAAAGGAAGCTAACTTTGGCACGCCGAAGTTTATATACCCTTGCAGATAGAACTTCTATGACTTAGAATCCCAACAATATAAATTATATTTATTTGTGTTAAAAAACAATGAAGTAATACCTGCTTTCATTTCATTCACCTTTACATATTATATTTGCAGTTTTACAGTCACAGATGTGCATTTTTCTCCACATCTAACGATCGTTTGTATGGCACCTATATAATATAGTAGTCCGATTTTCATAAAATTTTACACAAAATTTAAGACTGATATAAAATAGTTATACCTCAAATTTGAAGAAAATCTGTTGAAAACTGAAAATGTTATAATTTTTAATTGTCTTAATTTCTCGATTGTTCCTATGGGAGCTATATGATATAGTTGTCCGATTTTCATTAAATTTTATTCAAAATTGTAGAGTATAGTAAAATGGCTATATCTTAAATTTTATCAAATTCTGTTGAAAACTGAAATTGTTATAATTTTTTTGTAAAAATTATCCGATCATTCCTATGGCAGCTATATGATATAGTCGTCCGATCCGGCCCGTTTCGACATATATACGAGTGAGAGTATATAGAAGGCTAACTACAAAGTTTCATTCAGATAGCTTCAAAACTGAGAGACTAGTTTGCGTAGAAACGGACAGACGGACAGACGGACAGACGGACAGACGGACAGAAGGACAGACGGACAGACGGACAGACGGACAGACGGACAGACGGACAGACGGACATGGCTAGATCGACTCGGCTGTTGATCCTGATCAAGAATATATATACTTTATATGGTCGGAGGTGCCTCCTTCACTGCGTTGCAAACTTCTGACTGAAATTATAATACCCTGCAAGGGTATAAAAAGTAAAGTAAATAGGGCAAACCGAACTCTTAGCCTCAAGTGCTACGAATAATGCATTCTTTAGTTAATTTTTTCTAATCGTGCCTTACAATTCTCACAAAAAATAAATAAGTAAATGTGATTATTCAAAATCAATCAGATTGGGATGAAACAATTCCAACTTAAGCCCTTATCATATATATTTATAACTAGTGCTTGAGTTTTTCCCAACTTCTAGAAGACAAACATCATATTAACTATGTATATGTTTTCTTTATTCTTAGTTTTAAAGATTCCCGACTAATCATTCCGCATAGGTCGCCTCGTTGGCCTCCTTTGAGCTGACCTCCATGACCTCACAGCCCTGAGCATAGTCCTCGATGCTGCCATTATCCTTAACATCCGCCACAGCTCGTGCCATCTCCTCGTCCAGCTCCTTCTCCGCCTGAGCATCCAGTTCCAGTTCCCCACTGGCTTTTTCCAGCCCTTGCTGATCCTGACCGCTGACCTGACGCCTGCGACGCTCTGCTATATGAGATTCGTCTTGGTTTCCCTTCTTATTGAGTAGCAAGTCTCGTAGCCATGACGTACACAAATCGAAGGTTTCCAAATTCATTTCAAAGGACTCATTAGGTTCCTCTCCTTTCGATAGCCAACCACAAGATTCACTAGGAGAGATAGACCGCCGTCTCCTGGCTGTGGCTTGAGTAGTAGATTTGTGTTCTTCAGATGAAGATTCCCCTGAATTGTTCGCCTTCTCCTTATCTTTGTGCTCCTCGGAGGAACTGCTCGGATCTTTGGCTGCCCTCTTTTCCATTGTTTGCCGACGTCTCCTTGCAGCGGCCTCAGTGCTGGTTTCCTCTTCGGCATGATCTGTTGTGGTTTTCTGCTCCTCGGATGATGATCCGGAACTATTCGCTTTGTCCTTGGCCTTGTCCTTGTGCTCCTCGGAAGAGCCACTCGAGTCCTTGGCACCTCGCTTGTGTATGGAGTTTTCATGACTAAAGTCTAGAAGCTCTTCTGACTCCCAGACATCCTCCAGGAGTAGATCCAGCCAGGACTTCTCGGCGGACTCCTCCAAACTCAGCGGCAGACCAACTGCCGCGCTCAGCAGGAGGGCAGACATCAGCAGCAGCAACAGGGATCGATGCATGGCTGCTATCCTTTTTTTATTATATATATCTATCTATTGTGTATTTCCGATCCTCTAGGCACTCCTGGGCGCGTAGACTGACTTTTTCGAACTGAATGTGAGCGGCGGCAAGGGTTTCCCACGAAACCTCAATAAATTTATTATCACCCCGTGATTATGAACTCAAATGCAATTAAAAGCGGCTTAGCAGCATGCATATATTTCATGCATATTGCACCCAAAACACTGCCGCTTCCCATACTGCGCAATTTGCGAGTTTGTGCCAATTGCGATTATAGTCTTTCGGAACTCTCGGACTCGCGGACTTGCCTTGCATAATTCATGACAACAAATTGAGATGCCAAACGATGCTCCGCGATGCTCCCAGTTCAAATCCAACGAAATCGCCAGCGATAAGCCCCGCAAACTGAGTCGCGGATCACAAGAGATCAACCCGACGCGCAATTTGTAATTATCGACGCTTTCCAACAATAATAAATACAACAAACAATATGTAAATAAGTAAATAAGCCTGTCCACTTCAAGAAATTAAGTATTCGTTTTTACTTTATAATTTGGCAAATTGGTAAAGAGAAAACTTAAATCCTACCCTAATAAATTTATAATAATAATTTGCTCTGAAAAATAATCTTAAGTTGCATATATCTTAACAAAAAAGACTTATTCACCAGAAAAATATTTTGTAATAACACATGTTGGCTTACTTTTATATTTATGCAGATAAAACTCTAGTAATTTTTTTAATATATCCTTGTATATGTTTTTGTTTTCAAAACATATATTTTCTAAGACACTTTAACTTTCCTCTAGCTTTTCTCTTTATTTCTATTTCATTTTTAAAATTTCCTAGAAATATTTTGCATCGTTTTTTTGGTGTCGCATTTCTAGCATTCTTATCAGCAATAAACAACCTTTTAAATACGTAAACAATGAGTCATTAAATGCTTGTTTTCAGCTAATTAATAAATACTTTTTTGTATTTAGTACACTAACGTATAACTTTAGATTTACAGATAATTCAAAATATGGGCCAGATTTCCTAGAAATATTTATAAAAAATCTACATAGGTCACAGGACCAGTCATATGAATATCAGTTATTCCAGCAGTACATAAATAATTAGTATTTTTGAAAACATATGTGCTTAAATGAAAGTAGTAGAAAGTAAAAGAGTGACCACTGATTTACTTAAGTTTCTCCCAGTGCACAACACTGGAACACTCGTAAATTACAATTTCGCCGGTTGGAACGTGCCGGCGTAATTGAAGCGTGCCGAGAAGATTCAAGTTCAAGAGCTCTTCTAAGTATCCGCTGGATAGCGAGATACTGAGATACTGGAGCCGGCTGAGCCGTAAAGGCCACTTAATGCAAGGCGGCGTCATCCTTGAAGGCAAACAAACGGGCAAAAAAGGATTCTCGGAAAGTTCCGGCCGGCATGATAAATAGCCAGGGTTTGGGCCAAGTTTCAGCCATAGACGTGAGCGGACTGGGAAATTGGCCCAAAAACGAGGGCCTCATGTGTAAGCCAGACCAACCCCATGACGAATGTCCAGGGGCAATTATTTCGTCGCCAGTGTTTACCTGGCTATTAAAAGCCCATCATTCCAGAAGCTTGACTATTATTCACCTGAAGCCAACATTAAAGAGGGGCGTGCTTAAGTGGAATCGAAAACAAATTTATTTAACAGCCATCAAAGGGGATTGGCCCTCTCTACGACTGTCATAATGTCGTAAAAAAAGTTCCCTGGCAGATCCGGCTTATTGAATATGATTCCCAGATGTCCTCCTTACAAACATCAAAGGCAATAGGGGGCCGGGGAACCGGGAGCCTGGGAGCCAAGGATAACGTCGCAGACTCATGCATAATTTAAAGCAATTTGGCATTTTGCTGAATCAATTTCCACGGCAAGACAATCAAACGGAAAGTATTAAGACCTGAACTCCATTCCAAGTGCTGCAGTGCTTTCTATGCAAATTACACTCTCCAGCACTGCAACACTTTTTATGTAAATCTGGCCGCCACCTGGTGTGTTGGCCAAGAAAATAAAAAAACCATAACAGCCGGGATGAGGTGAATTAAAGCGCGATGTATATGCCCGACATTTTGTCATATTTATTAAAAATTTATCAATGTCATAAAGTTTACCACACAAGCGCAAACCACCAGAAGCGCACAGTGGCCAGCGATCAATCATTTTTAAAGCTCTCTCTAAAGATTTACTTAGGACTCCAAATTGGACCGCAGGTGGTAATAAAACAAAAAAAAAGTAAAACAAAAAGGTAAATGGAGCAGGATTAAATTAGGAAGAACTTTTTAGGAGAACTGGAATTGAAAGACAGACTTTAAGGAGTTAAAATGGCACAATAAAATGTGGAGTCTTTCACCTTTCACCTAGTTAAACTTTTAATTTAATATAAATATACTTTAATATTTTATTTATAATTAAAAATATGTCTCTGAACAGTAAGTATCTAGACCAGTAAGTATGTATGATCAGTTACTAACTTTGAACACTAATAAACAATGACTTGCAACTTTTGTAACAGCACTTTTCTGAAACTTGGCCTGCAAAAGTCACTTCGTTCCGGGGATGTTAGAACCAGTTGGAAATCATAGGCACTCATGTGCGAGATTTAAGAGCAAGCTATTTGAATGAAACTATGAAGTTCTCATTCTATATAATTTTACTAGTATATAAGTCAGAGCATGTCAAATCGGTGGACTATATATATATATATCTATATATATATATGAATAAAGATGCCATAGGAATTATCGGAAAATTACACAAAAAAAATAAAGTTAAAAATAACTTTTCCAGTTTTAACTGATTTTCATCAAATTGATAAGTAGCCATAATATATTAATCTAAAATTTTGTGTAAAATTTTATGAAATTCGGACTACAATAACAAACGATCGTGAAAGCAGGCATTACTTTATTGTTTTTTTTTTTAATATAAATATATATAATTTATATTGTTATAATTCCTAGTGGTCGAATTTTAATCTGCAAGGGTTTACAAACTTCGGCGTGCCGAAGTTATCTTCATTCCTTGTTCGCCTTAAAATACGCATAAAAAGTGTGAAATATACAAATTCAAGGACCTTTAAATAGGTATTCTTATATACTAATTTTTTGGGCAAATCAAAGCGTTTGAAATTTTGAAACTAGGCCAAAAATGCTTCAATTTCAATGCGGAAAACTTTTCTGTTCTATTGTTTATTAGATTAACAAATCTGTATCCTAAGTTTTGAATTATAATGCCCTGCGAGAGTATAAAAATCTTACATACTCTTAAAAGAAAAAGCCTAAAAGTATGCCAAATAAATATCTGTGAAATAATAATTAAACTAGTTTTGAACATATCTTAATAAATTTTTAATATGTTAATTCCATTAAATTTACTTTCTAAACTATTATGAAATACAAAGTATTATGATTATTGAGTTATTTGTCACAACCACATACAAACTCAAACACACACAACACCGGCAGGTACATTAAACACTAAATAAAACGAAAAAAAAATATATATAATTACACAGTTAACACAGACACTTACACATACAATGGCCCAAGACCCCGAGTCCACCACGGAAGCACTGCAGGTCCTGGAGACCACTGAGGCAACTGCTGAGCAGGCGGAAGTTGCCCCCGTGGTCTTGCGTCCTGAGCCAACGACAGAAGCCACAGTGGAGGTTCCCCAGTTGAAGGAGAAGATCTCCTCCCATCTGACGTTGACGGAGGACCATCAGAAGGTAGCTGCCCATGATGACGAGCACGTTGCTCAGAAGGAAACAGGATCAGCAACCGAGTTGGAGCCGGAGGCGGAAAGCCTGGACAAAGAACACTCTAAAAGTACACTTTCCCACAAAGATCATGAGCATTTAGGGGAAGAGAAGGGCGATGCCAAAGGTCTAGTGAAAGATGCAGGGGAAGGTGATATCCTATCGGAAGAAGCCCAGAAGATGAAATTGAAACGAGAACGAAAGGAGAGCCGCAAGGAAGCGATGAACAAACGCTACACCTTTGGATTATCCACTGAGAGGTTCTCGGAGAAGGTTAATAAGGAGGTGGCCCAAGAGGTGGTGGAGGAGGAAGACCAAGAGGAGGAGGAAGGAAGGAAGGAAGAAGATAAAGTACAGTCCATTGTCTCTATTATGGAAAACTTTGATGCTGACGGCGACGAGGGAGAAGCCAGGTTGAAGTCCAAGTTTAAGGGACTCCAAATGGAGGGTATTTTCGGGGCCTTCCGCGAGGATGACGACAACGGTGGCAACGATATCTTCTACAAGGATCCCAGATATGATAACTCTGAAACTGTTAGCCTCGCATCCATCAAATCGGCTAGATCAACCAGATCCCTCGTGCCGGACACTATCCAGATGAAGGCAGATTTCCTGCGCAACTTTGAAGTGCCCAGCCTGTCGGACATATCGGAGGAGCACGAGCCCGAACCCACGCCAAAACTAATGAAAGACACTTCATTCGATGCTTTGACAGAGGATACGGGCTACTATGCAGATGCTTTGGGTGAAGATCAGCTTTCAAGCCATACATCCTCAGAAGGGTCCTCAATTTTCGGATATGAGGATCAGGATGACGCGATGGCAGTTGCCAGCCCAAAAGATGGCTCTTCCGAGATCTCCGACTTGCCCGATATAATTAGCATTACGGATGAAAGCCCTAAAAAGATACAGATAACCTTTCAAGAACTTACGAATTCCTTTCAGGAGATTGTAATTTGTGAACAAGATGATGAAGAGCAAATCTCTAAAAGGGAATTTGGGGTGGACACGATAGTTCAGGATTTCGTGGAAGATCTTCTGCTGAAGATAGTCACAAATTTTGAAAGCCAAAAAATGGATGCCAAACTGCGCTTAAAGTTGGACAAGAGAAAGCTTTTGACCGAGTTAAGGGCCATCACCGACGCTTACATCTTTGAGAAGTACACCAACGAAATGCTAAGCACCCGGCTCGTAGAATACTACAAGCGTGTCCGTAACAGCCGCGTCTTCGCACACCTGAACGAGGACAAGGAGCAGCAGTACCTCGAACGCTACAACCAGGCCCTGGCCAAGGTTGACCACATAAAGCTGCGCTTGGATAAGATGAAATATAACTACGCTGCACAGATTCAAGAGCTGAACCTGAAACTTGATTCGGCCCACAACTTTGTCTCCTTCACAGAGTTGAAACTGCAGGCCAAAATGCACAAGTATCTCGTACGGCCGGACTCTGAGTTCCTTAAGCGATACGTCGACTGGGCTCTGCGACAAATGACTGCGAAACGGAACGAGATCGGTGACATGCGTTTAGGCCTTATCACCAAAAGTAACACCTTGGGTCACCTTCAGGCGGTAAGAAAGGGTTTTCTATTCTTATATTCTCTTGACCAAAACCGATCCTTCTATCTTTCGTGAACATAGAAACTCCAAGAGCTGGAAAATCTCAGCAGCACTGTAAGCATCCAGGACTTTATAATCATTCAAAACGATGTGATTAGCCTGGAGAAGAAAGTTGAAGGTGAGCACCTGCCGAGACTTTAATTTCACCGTGGATTTAATTAAGCTTTACCTGTACAGAGCGCAATTTGGATCTGAACAGGATGCGTACTCAGTACCTCACGGAGGTTCACCTTACCCATCACAATAGGGAGAAGGCTCTTGCTCTCAGCGACAAGCTCAGACACATGAAGATCACGCTGGCCAACGCCATCCAAACGCAGCGGTCTCTGCGTGGCAATCTCTACGACCTCAAACTGGACCGCACAAGGATCCGGGAGAAGCGTAAGGAGTTGACCTTCCAGGGTGGCATCCTGGCGATGCCGTCGCTGATGTACGAGTATGACAACACCGTTGCCCAGATAAAGGAGAGTCAGCAGCGGGTACTGAACCTAAGGGAAAATGCGAAGGCGCTAACTCGCCGTATTTCACTTGCCGAAACGTCAGCAAGGAGTATGTAGAAATTTGTGCTCATTAATCCAATCCAATCCAATCAATAAACACAAAGGAAATGCATAACAACATCAAGTTTATTATGCAAAGAGTCCGGCCTTAAGGACATTTTAAAGAGGACTGCTGCTGAAGGGAAAACTGCAGTCGGTTAAATTTTATAAACTTTGAAATAGTAGGCTAGTAGATTCCATACCTGTCAAAGCAGAAGCCTAGCTCACACTCACAAAACTTCCGTACACAAGTACACAACAAGTCTCTACAACAAAAATCCTAAAAATAGTAAAAAAAAAAGACACTGAAAATTATAAAAAAATAAATAAAAAGACACATTTAGTACATAAACACCTTTAAAAATATAAAAAAATACATAAAAACTAAGAATAAAAACAAGAACAAAGACGATAGCCACACTAGTATATAGCGGTATCGTTAGACTCTAGGAATTGGACAGGGAGACTTTATATAGAAAAGTGAAACGCAATGACGGATGATTCCAGTAAGAAGCATATAACGTACCAGGAATCGAAAGAGTCACCACAGCAGGATGTGGTACCCCAGGAGTCGCCACAGCAGGATGTGGCACCCCCGGAGCTACCACTACAGGCTGTGGTACCCCAAGAGTCACTACAGCAGGATGTGAAACCTCAGGAGGCGCCACAGCAGGAGGTGATAACTCAGGAGGCATCACAGCAGGATGTGAGACCTCAGCAGTCATTACTAAATGATGTGACATTCGAGGAGTTATCACTGCATGATGTGGCAATCGAGGAGTCCTTAGTACAGGATTCGGTACCCCGGGAGTCATCACAACCCGATATGAAACTCCAGAAGTCATCTGTGAAAGACCAACGGCTAGCGGAGAAAAAGCGGCAAGTTCAAGCAGCCTGCCTCCGACTGAAGCAACAAGAGCTTAAGGAGAAAAAGGAGAGAGAGGAGCTATTGAAAGCGATCCAGAAAGATATCTCACAATACGAGACTGAGAAATCCGATTCATCAACGATATACACCACATCTGAAGCCACTTTAAAGGTAAACGAATGTGACGTTCAAGAAGAAGATGAGGAGAAGATGATGTTGGAGGAAAGTGAGAGCTCCTCCTCGGTTGCTTCCCCCAAGGAGCTTAGCGACTTGGACAGCGAGGATTTCGATGATCCCATGCGGAAGAAGGTTCATGATCTAATGTTGGTGCCCAGCCTCTCTGATTTTTCGGTGTCCGAAGACCGTGTCGTAAAACCCGTAATGTCTATGAAATCATTTGCCTCTTCTATGCATCTAATCCGAACCGAGACTGACAGCTTGGAGTCTGAATCCGAATCGGATAGCATGGAGTCCCGGACTTCAAATTTCGAGCCTGAAAGAGTGGGTGGTTCCAGCGAATTAATCGCTGCAAGTCCCATGTCTGTCGATATCCAAGAAATTGAGTTTGATGAAATCCAACCCGTGAAGAAGAGTATAGAGTTCGCTGAGTTTCCCATTGATGTTTTTGTTAGGGAATCCTCCATTGTAGTGGAAGATCCATATATCGACGAGACCATAACGATTGTAAACGATTTCTTTAACTTGCTCATGAGAAAAGTAATTGCTGATGAAGATCCCAACGAGGTAAAACGGAACAAGCTGGATAAGAATAAGCTTCACAAGGGCATATCCGACTGTGTGGCGCAGTACTTGGAAGTCGCGGCAATGAACAAAATTTTTAACGATCTGATGGCCGAACACTACCGTCTCAATAAAAATATCCGCGTCTTAGCCGAGCTATCGGAGGAGGAAAATATGAGCTACTACAAACGTTACAGAATTGCAATGGACAGTGTGGGGCATGCAGAGGAACGCGTTGCCATGGCCAAGGCCTTGGCCCACAGGGTGATCGTTAAGGCGCAATTAGAGCTGACTAGTGGCGTCCACTCTGCACTGGGCACCGAGCATCGCTTCGAGCAGGATGTCCGCCACATCCTAGTCCGGCCAGATTCCGAGACTGATCTACTGAAGAGATTGATTGACCGCGAGCTGCGATGGATGCACCGCCACCGGGTAGAGATCAGCTACAAAAGGTTTGTGCTGATTATGCTGCAACACGATCTAGCCAAGTTAAAGGAAGTACGTAAACAATCCATATCTTTTACACAATTTTCAATATCAATAATTAATATAATTCTCGGTCTATGTATTTTCTTAATGCCTTAATCCATAATGATCTTTTTATTGTTAGCTTTTTAGAATTAGCTCATAGACTAACTTGTCTTATACTCTTCCGTTTTAGGATATACACAAGCTGGATACGGTGGCTGATCGTGTGAGCATGCAGGACTTCTTAAGCCTGCAGGCTAAAGTCCAGCATTTTCAACTAAAGATTGAAGGTATTGAGCTCTTTCATTTTGTCTATCTTGACTGATTTTCTTATAATTATTTCCGTCCTCTCAGATCGAAATACTGAACTGAGCAAGTTGTGGGCGCAGTACCAAAAAGATGTGTATCAGGTTCATAATAACAGAGAAAAAACACTGGCACTGCAGGACAGACTATTAATTTTAAAAAGGCAGTTGGCCATAAAGTTCGAAACTAAAAACTACCTTAAGAAGGAGCTGTTTGAAGAGAAAATGAAGCACATAAGAATACGGGCGAAGAGCAACGAACTTGCCTTCCAGGGCGGCATCCTTTCGATGCCATCTCTGATGTCCGACTACGACAGGACAATGGCATACATCGAGCAGAAGCAAAAGAGCATTGCCGGACTCAAGGAAACCGTGAGATCCCTTAACCAGCGCTTGGGTTCCCTGTCTTTGAAGAGTTCATTAACCAATGTAATAGCGTAATTTCACAATAAAGCAACCAGAGATGAATCTTCTACATTTTCACACAAAATAAATAATAGTTTACAAGAACTAAAAGAAACGCTTTTACAAATTACCGAACTAAGAAGAAGAAAATAATTTATAATTACAAGCAAAATTATTAAATTCAGAGCAATAGTATATAAGTATAAACAAGATCACTAAATTCAGAGTTAATCAATGTTACAATTATTCTAAGGGCAACTATCTGTAAGGGGGAATTATGAAAATATAGAAAAATCCTACAAATAACTGTTTTACTGTACAATGACTCGCCAATTATATGTGTACCTATTGTTACAAACAATAATAAATGTATTTCTGTGAACATAAAATAGAAAAGATATGATATTTACAAAATATTATTATATTAACAAAAACAGTGCAGCTGTATAATATCTCGTCCCGTATGTATTTAAACGTTGTTCTTAGTGACAGCATTATGTATATCAGTCAAATGACAAATTCAGAGCAGTAGTCGAACTGAATACATGTTAAAACAATGATTGATATAATTAATTACATCAATCTCAATCAATCAATGTCTCCGGATGCACCCCACGCTTTTAACTCTAAAATTTAGTGATCTTGCTTATAATTATATACTATTGCTCTGAATTTAATAATTTTGTTTGTAATTATAAATTGATTTTTTCTTTTTATTTCGGTTATTAATAAAAGCGTAATTTTTTAGTTTGTTTTTTTTAACTATTATTTATTATTGGAGGTATTCAACTGTGTCAATGAATAATTATCACTGATTTATAATAATTTCAATCGTTTTTAGGCAATTAAAAGTTTGATACTAAAAACACAATAATTGCTAGTAAGTTCAGATTTTATTTCAAGTTTTTTAGTCTTTTGCTAATTGCCCAACGCTATGGATCATAGAGTTGTCATCGTTGGAATATATGTTCTAGCTTCCCTTCTACTCTGCAGTGTAAAATATTCTGAACTGATACTGAATCTAAAAGGAAAATATATTTATTTATATATACCCCAGGAGGCACCGTCAGTTAAAATGACAAATGTCGTCTGCAAGTCGTACAACAAATCCTGGGTCGTTATCCACTATTGTCGACTGAAGGCCTATTCCCGTATCAAGACCAGCTTGAATATAAATGCCACATTTCTAGAGCCAGCCAATAATATACATCTCCATCTAAAAATGATGAAAAAGGCCAGCGGCTATAAGCCATTCCTCTTCGATTACACTTTCGATGCCTGTGAGTTTATGCGTAAGCGAAACCAACCCTTCGTCAAGCTTATCTGGAATCTGATCAAGGATGTGTCCACGGTGAACCACACCTGTCCCTATGTGGTGAGATTGTTAATTAATTCTGTTAAATGTATTCTTTAAGTTTGAATAACTTTTTAGGGCCTGCAAATGGTTCACGATTTCCATCATATTCAGTTTCCACTTAATATGCCTTCCGGCGACTACTTGCTATTATTCGATTGGATATTCGATGGCAAGCCGCAGTTTGCTACCAATGTTTATTTTAATTTTGTGGAAGATTCTTAAATAACAAAAAAGGTGCATAGAATATACTATATCACCTAATTCAATTTATGTTATATTAAAATAATATAAATCAAAATTAAGGGTTGTGTGTCACAGCCACATAAATTAAAGAAGGTCAAAGGATGCAATACGGAACTTCGATGTTTATATTTTAGAGCAATTTAATAAAACAATTTCGATCGGCTGTGTAAGGCATAAATTTTCAATTCAAGTGTTTTTTGATTAACGCAAAAAAGCTTTAATAGCTAAGTCAAAATATATTTAAGCCGAAAAGAAAAGTCAGCACTGACAGTGATATAGTTTTACTTCAATTTCCTCTTCTTTTTTCGGGTTTCAAATAATCATCTTGGCATTTCAAAAGTTTGAAACAATCATAAATAAATAATAGCTTAAAAACTAAAAAAAAACACGCTTTTTTAAATAATTTTTATATTTTTTAGTGTGGGTGCTTATAAAAGCGTGTTTTTTTAATTTTCTAAGCTATCAGTTATTCGTACCTTAGTTCTATTTATAAATAATCAATTTTTGCGGACATGTAATTATGAAATATCCTACGTACAATTTCGTAATCTCATTATTTCATGATGCGCAGATCGCGCGCTAGCTCTGTCTGTCTTACTCCTTTACGGAGGATCTAAAAAAGAATATATCAATCCTGACGATCCTAATCAGGATAATGAAAAATTTTGTTCTGATAAATAACCAGCTTAATTAATTGGCAAAATCCAAGAGTTTCCACTTATAGAGGATCATGCATCAATAATAACCCTGAGTCGGTAGAGAAAATCTCTTAATGAACCATTATAAAAATATATTTCCCCCTCACATTTTCAGTGTCAAGTTTGTTATTTATTTGCCTGTTTTTATTTATTCCCACTAAGATATTCGGCAACAACAACAAGTAAAGAAATATATGAAATGCGGAGAAGAAAAAGAAGATCTTAAGCATCCAATTGTTGGAAAATTTGAAAATCTAAAAATAATATCAATTCTGAATTTGGCACGCTTTATTCTTAATATTTTTCTTTGTCGAGAGAATGGGAAGTACTCACGTTCTTAGTACGCTTCAATTAGCCTAAACTAATGGAACAAATATTTATTTCGGAAAATGTATATATAGATAAAAACTAGAAAAATAACCCATTGCTCGAAAATATCCCTGGAAATACCCTTATAAAAATGTGAAATACTTTACAGACTGATTCATTAACGATCAATATTTCTATTTTTATAATTTTAAGGTTTCTTCTTGGCAGGACTTTTGGTTAGTAAACTTTTGGGGGTAATAAATTAAGATATTAGAAAAGTGCCAGTCAAGGCGTGAAATATTTATTCTCAAGAACTGTCTGGCATTTTTCATTCTTGGCACCTTCATCTTAGTTTGCACCTGCACAAAAATACATTCCTGTCTGTGTTTCGTTTTTAGAGAGAACAATTTCACGCCTCAGACAGGTGAGTTTTTTGCTTGATTTCTTATAGATACTCATATATATATATGGAAATATACCCCAATCTTGATGTTAACTCTGCCCATCGCCGATGTAGTGACCTCGACACGCTTCAGCGGAATTTTTCAGATCGCAGCCGATCAAAATGTGTTTATGTTTAGTTTATAACGACGATAGGATGATACATATTGATATATATATATATATACATATATATGTGTATATGTATAAAATATACATTTATAGAACGTACTGCTGCGTACCATTTGGTGGCCATAGGCAGATAAATAAAGTCTCTACACCCACACAAAACAGCAACAACAGCAAGAACGTAGAGAGCTCAAGGTTATAGAGGTGATCGAATCGGAATTGAAATCGGAATTGGAAGCTAGGATTTTTGGATTACTTTATTGTACTCATAAATACGATTAACTTAGGCGTATACTTAATGTTAAGGCTTTCTATTTTGCTACAAGCCTTTGCGTTGCTTTTGTGTGTTTTTGTTGTTTGTGTGAGTGTTTTTGTTTAGTTGTTGTTCTTGGTGATATTATCATTCAATTTTTTCTTGCTTGGTAAGGAATATCATTGTGTTCATACAAAATATATATAGATATATATATGGGTGTGTGTGTGTGCGGTCACTTAGCATACGTGTAGAATAGAAGGTCCTTCGCTCGATGCTTACTTGCCGAGCAGGATCTTGCGGCCAGCGCCAAGGTTCTGGCCAGCCTGGGTGGCTCCCTTGTTGGAACCGGCCTGCAGACCGACAATGGTCTGGCCGGCCTTCAGCTGCTCATCGGTGAAGTCGCGCTTGCACTCATCGGCGGGCTTGGGGCCCAGGAAGGGACCCTTGAAGTCGTCGTGCTTGTAGGTCTGTCAAGAGTCAAGGAAAATTCGAATTAAAATTCATTTTTTTCTTCAGAAATCTAAGATCTTAAACTTACGGCACGGCCCAGGGCAAAGATGGTGTTGGTCACATTGGCAATGTCCTTCTTCTCATAGAGATCGACAGTCTGGAAGACATCGATATCGGGCACACCGTAATCCTTGAGCGCCTTCTGGAAGTTGTTGATGTTCTCCATGAACTTGAACTGGCCACCCGAGGAGTTGACCTTGGGCACCGAGTTGGGCGACAGGATGTTGATCAGCTTGCACAGCACCTGGCCGTCCTTGAGCACATCCTCGTAGGCCTGGCCAGCGGGGAATTTCTCACCAATGATGGCCTCAACCCATTCCTGGGCCTCCTTGTCCATCTCGGGATTGCGCTTGCCGGCAATCTAAGATGGATTAAAGAACAAAAAAGAACACAACATTTTAGGCACAATTTCGTCACATATTCATATATCCTTTCACAATTATTTTTTCACTTTTGGTATTTATGCGATTTAAGGATTTCTTTTTGCACTGATCTATGATTATTCACCTTGGCACGAACGGCACGCTCTAGAGACATGTTTGTTTTGCTGGATTTGGGGTGTTCGGGTTCTGTGTGATCTTCACAAGAGACTGATGCAGCCAACGGGGCGTATGCGGCTTTTAAAGCGAGCGAGAGAGCGTTCTCTGTGCGATTCGGAAAGCGTTCAAGAATTTTCCAAAAATATATCCGAATTTCGGAGTCGAGTGTGTGAGAGGCTGTGAAGTGTGTGGGCGTTCTATATAATCGAAGCGCCGACTTTTGCCCGCCTCCCTCGCATGACTCGTCCGCTATAATTATAGACCATCATCCTCGTCGTGGTCGTTGTCGGCCGAGTAAAAGGAAAATATCCAAATGCTTAATAATTTTCACACACGTCCATCCAATCGATAGAAATCTGTGTGTAAGTGTGTAATTGCGCTCCCAGCTATTCTTCTGCTCATTTGCATGTTAACCGCATTTTTTCGGACTCGGGCCAGGCCAGCTGTCCTGCTGACATTTCCCATTTTGCACTCGATTCCGGCGCGTGCATTGCTCGTAATTTAAATAAGAATTGGCAGGAATTGGATCATAATTAAAAATGGCAAACGAAACAACGTCTCCCATCGAAAGAAACCTTCTCCAGAAGCTAATTTTGCAGGACAAAAGTCACACGGAAAGTGTGAAATATTCACAAACTATTTTTGTATTTTATAGCTGTCCTGGGTTATTAAAGGGGAATTTATTAAGCGGACACTAAAAAGTTATTAACCAAAAGTTCCACCTTAAACGTTAATTTATTGCTTGAAAGTCATTAAAAATGTATGAAAGTAGGATTGTAAAATTATTTTAAAATTTCAAAAAGTAAAGATATCAAAGTTTGCTGTATTACATTTAATTACAAAGGTTTTCTTCTTTGAAGTTTAATAATAATGTGGTTTTTGAAGACGAAATAATAAAGATAAACTAGGATTTATCACATTTTAAAGTATAAAAACCCATTTATTTATCAGATTCTTTGCTAAATATACCCCTCTTATGCTTAAAAATTTCTTACATGAATACTTCCATATAATTAAATACTTAAATTAAAAAGTAACGGCAAATATTCATGTTAATATATTCACAAATAAAAAACCCTTTTAATAGAACCACTTTGTATTTAAATGAGTCTACATATTAACGTATTAATAAACCGAATAATTTCGATAATTAAAAGCCCACACCTCCCCATAATTGCAGTTAAAATTAAATACAACCCGCCTCTTGGCTGCATTTAGCCCATCAAATTAGCAATAAATTGCAATTATAATCTGTTAATACATATCAAATCGGATTTTGAGTTTACAAGCACAAGGCCACTAGTGAGTGGCTCTGCCTCTGTTATGTCCAGACAATTAATTTGAATTATGCGCCTTGTGTTATTGAAAAACACATTTTTTTCGTTGAGGGGAAAAGACAGACAGATGGACAGTCCAGAAAGTGCCCCTAAATTTACAACAAGAGGGCAGGCAATAAAGTGAGCAACAGTCGACATGACAAGGCGACTTGACTTGGCAGGCAAAGTTCGTGGCCCCCCCAGAAGGAACGAAGAAGATGAATATTTAATATGTAAAAGTGGCAGTGGAAAAACCAAACAAACAAATATCATCAGCGACAACGTCTATTTCGAGCGAGACAGAGCGATGAGATGAAAAGTCGAGGGGAAAATCTTCAGCTAGAGCGGATACAATTTCGATAACACTCGGAAAATCCAAGGCATACACGTAAAAGGCCCGGCACATTTGTGCTATGGGTAATGCCGACTATTTCTGAATTCTGAATTGTGAATTCCGAAATTCGTATTCCGAATACCCGAGTTCTGAACAGGTGGAACCGAAATAGTCGAGATTTTCCAGGCTTTTCTCACGCCCGCATAAACAGATGGCGTGTTCGTTTATTTTTACCGCCTCCTTGGCCCGCGGCACTTCAACGGACAGTTGCCTTCTGTATTATATTTTTCTGTATTTTTTTGTTTAATTAACAAATACCCTGTGGATTGGAGTAAACCGCCACAATTGTTGCGATTATGCCCTACCGCAGACCGACTGCCTGCCATTTTAAGTGAATTAAATTCGCCCAAGGCACGGTTTTCGACTATTGTCTTCACGAAAAAATTTAATTAATGCCCCGCAGATGTGCGGCCATTTTTCATGGCAATTAAATTATTGTAATTGCATTCCATGGTGTAGGGGAAAGCTGCCTGTAATACGAAAGAATCGAATTCAATTATGGTATGGTACTCTTGAGAATTCTGCAAATCCTTCGGCCCTGGCCCCCCAAAAGTTGAATTGCAGTCCAAACATACAACACGCCTGATTAAATGTTTATCCGGACCCTTGGCCATAAACGGAATGGTTTCGCCAGGGTTCTTTCATGCATTCTCATCAGACCAGTGTCGTTTTGGCCAAATTGCATATGGGAGGTACACTGGGAGAGTTAAAGAATGTAAGTTTCAGAAGACATAAGTTAGTTAACATTGGGGGATGCTCACATTTATTTATCCTGAGTTTTTAGCTTAGTTAACTTAAGGTAAGAGTTGGCTTTACTAAAGATTCTATGACTTCTTAATGTATAAATATATTTGTAGCTCAGAAAATGTAATTGGAATTGCGAAATAGTTAAAGGATTATATGGTATGTATAAAATATATTAACATTTTTTATCATAAACCTCCAGAAACTCCCCATTTCGCCACCTCGTTTTCAGTGTACCTACAAAACTTGTGTTTGCCGAGGAAAATTAGATTCGAGTGTGCAAACATCCTGGCGAGAAACCACTTTCTGTGTGCCGCCGCCTGCCCCGCAATAGGCGCTAAGTTGGTGGGGATTATTTTCCCATAAATCAGCATAAAAACTCCACAAAGGCCAAGGCCTCCGCCCCGAAATGGCCAACAATGGGACACAAAGACACCCCAAAGAAGGCGGCCAAAATGGCAACGCATATCCGAGATGAAGTCGACCGAAAATTAGGTCGTTCGCAGGCGGCAAGGATAAGGAATAGGGATAAGGTCTGGGTTACCCGGGGCATGGAGGAGTGAGCAACCACTTGCTGGCATTTGTGCCGCTTCCGCTGCTGGCTTACTGTGAAGCTGGAGCGGAAACGGAAATTGAGTCAAGCATTGTCTGCTCCCCGGGCCAGAGTCTGGACTGCAATTTCATTTATAAACAAACAGAGCCGCTGCCGCCGAGTCGAATCGAATCGAATCGAACTGTAACATTCACAGAGAATTCGTGCCTCGCTGTGAGTGAGTTTCCTCGGCCAAGAATAGCCACATTATTTATTTAAGCTCAACATTTAATTGGAAAATCATGCCCAATGTCGTCATTTTCTTAACGAAAATAAACACTCGGGTGACATGGCATTGGGACGGCCGGCGGGAATAGTTATTTATAAGTTTCTCATAATTCCTCTAGACATCTTCCCGCTTCTAGCGACAAAAGCAATTAAATAAATTTTCACATTGTAGCAAAAATAATACGAAGAAGAAAACATGGTACACACATTCTTGTTGGTAGGAAAATTTGTATTCTTTGATATTTATACATTTTACCTTTTTGCCAATATTGTGGTCCTAACAATTCGTCCGGAACAGAAAAAGGAACCACAAAGTGCAAACAGATTTTGGCGTGAGTTTTGGCTAACCTTAGCATTTAATTTGCATTTATTTCTTGGCATACTTGTATTATTTTTATACACTTTATGTAGGAGGTGGACCTGTACTTGAGCAAATGTCCTGTAAAGTTAACAACAGAATCAAATACATTATATAGACTCCATTCTTGAACAGCCTGCTGCTTATTTGTAACAATAATTTTTATATAAGATACATTTTCAGACCCAAAGTCTGTTAATTTATTTCTAATTAAAAAAGAAATATCCTATAAGTTTTTAATATATTTTATGAGTTTGTAAAAAATGTCCTCTCGGGTTTAAAAAAAAGAGTATTTCCAATGCTACCTTTCAGTATAAACTTTTATATTTATTCCAAACTTTTGCTTCAGCAATTATTGCGTTTCGGAATCTTTTGAACTTTTTTGTTTGTCGGTTTGTCAGATGTTTGTTTGGTCTGCTCCACTCGATTCTGTATTTGGCTTTCCACCCAATATCATTCACCCCAAAACTGTCTTTACTCTTTAACCCGACAAATAAATGATACTGGCTTCGTGGGTGTGACCCAGCCTCTGCCCTGGGAAAAACCAAAAAAGGTTAATTAGAAATTCAGGAGGACCGCAAGACCAAGATGCCTAGCACTTAACCACAACAAAAAGGTCTCCCTACGCCGGCTGGCCATGGATATTGGCCCGGCCAAGTGTTGGGAAGGTGAAAATAATATAATAGAAATTTATATATGTTATGGGCAATAATATGGGAAGGCTCCGGGAAGTGTGCGGATTAAGCGACTCAGCAGCAGCCGTCGCTTTAAATCAATAATTCAACTGTGACTGGTTTCCAATTTATGGCCAACTCAGCAGTGGCCAAAAACCAACTTGTCTGACCCCAAAATAAAATCGGCAAATATTACCCTCGAGTTATAATCGAAGAACTAAGGCCGAATGCGAAAACTTTGTCAATATTTCACCATCACGCACCGCTGGCTTGGACCCCGGAGGTCCTGTGAATGGCCCTGTGAATTGGCCGGGCAGAGTGTGGAATGTCCTCTGGCCTAATTGAATTTCCTGGCTAACACTTTAAAGCCGGCTGCTAGGCTACTTAATAGGAGAGCTCGTGTAATGAGGTTTCGCCTTCCCCCCATTCGCATTTCCCCCCAAAAAACTTTCCATTTCGACAAATTGACTGACAGGCGTCGACAGAGAGCAGACTTCAAAGCAGCCCGCTTTCACTAAATCAATTTGCACAAAGTATTCGACAGCATTAGGCTCAAGCAGTTCGACCCCCCTGACTTTGGAGTAACAAAAAAAAAAACAAAAAGTTTTTGGAACAAAAGTTGTTCTCGACTGACATCCATAACTCGATTTGTAAATGGCAATGTGTGCCACATTAGGGTTCTCTCCTTGCAAAGGACCCGAAGGCTCAAATTTTTAACAGCTATGCTAATTTGATGCCATTATGTGCCTAATTATGGCCTCTGTTCTGGCGCGAAAATATGCAAGGTCTTGTGTATGGAGAAATTACAACAGGAAGTTGGCTTTTGTTGGCAAAAAAATAACAAAAACAAGACCCGAAATAATATAGCAAAAGTTAAGTATGTAAAATTTATGCAGACATCAGGATAAGTCTAGCAAATTAAAGAAAATAAAGAGTTAATCAAGAAGTATATACTTATGAGTTAGAAATTTCCTAAATAAAGCGAAAAAGTCATACATTTTTATTATTTGAAAGGAAGTAATCAACACATCTCAATCCACATCCCATAATGAAAACAAAGTTTACCACTTCTTTAATAGTAAAACCTAATAAAAAATTATATATTTACAAATCAATATTTATTTTAATTTATGCTATCGTTTCTTTTAAATATAAACAAAAAATTATGACCCCTCTTGAAGCAAAAAGTTAACTTGTTATCACCGAGTTTTACCGCAGCTTATTACCATTTTGTTTATGCTGCTCCTAATTTATGCAGGCTGAAAAGTCTCTGCCAGTTGCCCCATTCAATTATAAATATTTTTTTGTTCCCCCATCATAACAATAATAATGATTTAAATTAAATTGCCTTGCTGGGCGGACAGTACATTCAATAGAAAATTGTATTTTTTGCTCTTTTAATTGTCAATTCACTTCCCAATGGGTGGGCGGCATTGCATCATCCTCGGCCGGCACGGCGACTGCGACAAGCCCATAAATAAAGTTTCATATATGAAGAGCGGACGTGGCCTTTAATCGAATTCATAGCGACATGCAAATACAGACAAAAAATTGGTAGAAAAAATTATATAATTTCCCAGCAGCGAATAAAGGAATGCTCTTCAAATAAGAGTTCAACATTTCTAGGAATACAATAATAATAAAATACAATTAGCTATTAAAACCACTATTCCGCTTTAAGGAAATATTTATTATCCTTATGCCTAACTATTTTTCTTTTCCATAAAACTTGCAAATAAATGCAAATCCTTTGACAAAGTTGCTTAGCTTTGCTTTGGAAGAAGAGTAAAACGAAACTTGAGTAAAACAATTCAGTTTCCTATATTTAGGATGCGCTTTTGGCGACCGTTGGCAAGAAACTAAATCGTCCTGACATCCACAATGAAAGGACGAGCCAGGAATCTCTGCGCCAGCTCTGACAACGGACGTGAAGGGCAGATAAATGTTGAGACAACGCCAGAGCGAAATTGAAAAACTTGCAGGCCAAAGCGCAAAGTTTTCCGCGTGCCCCGAGAAGCTGGAAAATCGCTGGCACCCACAAAATATTAGCAATAGCTGCAGCTGAATTTTCCCGAGACAGACAGAGTGAAGTCAAGGGAGCAAAAATGCAATGAGGAGTTGTGCCCACCAGGTGCACGTTCTAAGGACGAGATAGTAAGCAATACGTGCGTTAAAACTTTGTTTGAGTTGACTGGCCAGAGCATCGACTTACTGGTACTTCCATCCAAGTTCCGTGGAAAATCCTTGACGGCAATTAGCGAGGAGGGGTTCTCGAAAGGGATTACCTACCCCGCTCAACTGGAGGGCACTCGATATGGCTATTAGGCCTGACAAGCTGTCATTAGGGCACAAACGTCCGACCCAGAGCCGCCAAATATTTGCCAACATTTTTGGGAAGCAAACAAGAGGGGGGCGCATGGAGCATACGAGGATATGTTAATGAGCCGGCAAAGGTCGCGGTCAGCCGCGAAATTGCTTTGAAATTAGCGGTATTACACATTAGAAATTCCCTCCAGCAGGGTAAACATTAATTTGCAATGGCGAGACCCGTACCCCATTTCAATCATCATGAGTTCCTGGAAGTCCAAAAAAAAAGGGTATTTTCATTTTCAAGAGTTCTCGGAAATGTTGGCTAAACAAAAGGTTAATGCGGATAAAAATAGTTGAATACATTAAATAATCAATGTTTTAAATTTTTAATATTTCAAATTTCTTGAATCTATTTTGTTTTGGTTTCCTATAAAGCATTCCTGAAACATATGGAAGTCATTTTTCCCTTGATCTATTTCAATTTGAAATTTGATTATAATCTTTAATGGAGCGTATACTATAAATAAGAGATGTAGATGAGAGCTTTATGCTTTTTCAAAATAAATCATTAAATATACTGTATTTTAAATTTAGAGAATAATATTTTGAAAAACTTAGTTGTTTAATGACTTGCATGTTTTCTTAAGATCATGGAAATAGTGAAATCGTTCGCTTTTTATTAGGATACTAGCATTTTGGGTTTTAATATAAAAAATACATTGGTTTTTGGTATATGTATACATACAAGAAAACCTAAACTAAATGATATTTTATATGGTAATTTTTTGGGTAAATGAAGGTATTTCAAATATCATAACTAAGCCGATAATGCATTAATTTTGAATCCGATAGCTGTTCTGTGCTGGTTTTATAGCCTTAACAAATCTGCATATTGAGGATAAAAATTTACAAAAATTAAAATTTTTATCAAATTTTTAAAATTTTAACGATGTAAACCCTTATAAAAATTTCAAAAATGAGTACAACAATTTTCTGTCTGAGATGGCTAGATTGATCCGGCTTTTCATGCTGGTCAAGAATATATATGATTTATAGGGTCAGAAACGACTGCTTCACCTTGCTCAGACTGATTTAAATACACTTCAAGTGTATAATAACATAACAATAGTAGGCGCCAAAGTCAGGGTCAGTTAGCAATATTTGTGAATAATTTATAATTAAGTTAGGCTGTTAACTTTGAGTATATGTCCTGTTCATAACATTAGTACAAATTGCTGTATCACTTTAAAGTTTAAAGTTTAAAGTTTAAACTTAAATTTACTAATGGGGCCCTTGGCAAAAATGAAATTAATTAAAAAAGTATTGAATAACTAGCACCGCTGATTCTAGACCTAGGCCATATTCCTCCTATATATATAGACTTACCGCAGCTATCCCTTTTCGTTATTGCTTAATACCATCCTGTGAAGACTTATATTCTTGGTGACTTCATCGAATTGAGCTTCTTTCTGGTTATCCGGTTGTATTGCCTTGGTCAGGTGACATATTTTAGGTCGAAGGGCACTATCACTTTTAATACCACTATCACTATAGATGTAAACAGCGGGAAGGCCACGGACAGACTGAGGGCAGCGCGAAGGCAGTATCTGTATTTATAGTGCCCGAGTTGAGAGAATAGAGAAAGTGAGAGTTAGAGAGAAAGCGTCATCTCTAGAGATAGGCGGAGAGAGAGAGATACAGAGGGCTCTAGCGCTAGAGATACCCAGAGAGTGATAGACATACCGGAAAAAGAAGAAATGGAGGGGGAGAGAAAGAGGGAGAGCATTCAATTCACTGTCATTACAATATTATATTATTACGAGAAGAGAAGCTAACTTTGGCAGAAAGTTTGTATTTCAATATTTATGTTTAAAAACAACGAACTAATCCCTACATTCATTACTTTCGCCGTTACATTTTATATTTACAGTTTAACGCACACAGTTTTGCATATTTCTCCACAATTAAATGGGATTTATTATTATTTGAATTACTATATTATATATATATATATATAATATTTCAAGAGGTTCTAGACAGTGTTTGAGTTGTGCACATCGCACTCTAAACCATTATCCTTCACCTTCACAAGCAAGCGTATAATACCACCTAAACCTTGGCAAACATCTAAATTAAACACACGATTTAATAACTATCAAGAGCTCAGGGCTCAACCTGATCCACTGAGGAGGAGGATAAGGAGGAGGAGGAGGTGGGAAACTGGAAGTTGCCGATGGCCTCCATAGTCTGCCTCAGCTTCTCCAGCCCGCTGCAGTTGGCTTCGTAGGCATCCAGCTGCTGCATTGCGGTGAACCAACGCTGCAAACGTGGAAATCGCGTCAGCGGAAACATGAGATTGACGGTGCTCAATGTGGTCACCAGGGAGAAGTCGGCAAGCGTCAGCTGAAACCACAGCAACAAAGGTGAAATTCTAAACTTGATTGAACCATACCTCCTCGGAGCTCTCTTACCTGGTCCCCGGCCATGTAGTTGCTCTTTTCCAGGTAGCGCTCCATGATGCCATATGCCTCGGTCAGCTTGCGTTCGTGGTGGGCCACATCCACATGGGCGAATCCTTGGCGGACAATCGCCGACTGCGGTAAAGGTTTGCAAATTAAATGAATTTCAATTAAATAGAAAATGTAAAAGGTGGAAACCCACCATAAAATCACTGTCACGCCGGAACAGAAAGGAGCACTCGAAGAGCAGGAGATTCAGGACCATCATTCGTTGGGCATACTCCTTGGGCCACAGACTGCCGCCCTCGTCGAATTTTTCCGCCAGGTGTATGAGTATGGCATGGCTATCGGTCAGTACGAGGTCACCATGCACCAGAGTAGGAACACTGTGCTGGGGATTTAACTAAAAAAGAGAATCGTATGTAAAATCCACTGAATAAATTACCCTAACTCACCGCCAAAAAGTCTTTTTGAAATTGTTCGCCCTTGAAGAGATCCACAAAGCGAAACTCCACATCGATATCCAGCAGTTTAATTAGCATAAGACAACTGCGCACCGGCGGACTGCGATCGTCAAAGTACAGAATCGGCTTGAATTGAGACATCTTGCGAAGATCAGGTAGAAATCAGAACGAGTGCGATGAAAGCCGATCAGTGACTAAATCCGAATGCGGGGATTGTCTCGAGACAGCTGTCGGGGTTAAATAATTCGATTTATTTTGAAAATAAAATATTCAAGCTCAATTATTAGCAAAAAAATATATTTTTTGAATTAAAAACATATTTTATTGTACCTTTATTATACTAGTTAGTTAACGCTATTATTTCAAATCTAACGTGTATATGTTCCTCGACACCATAGCCCTGAATCAGTGTTGGAAAAGGTATAATTTTCTTGAGCGTTTTAGTGTGCCCAGCTGTCGTTCTATCAGCATTATTAACGGAAATCCTCGCAACCACACTGCACTTGGCAAACCAGAAAAACATTTAATAAATATTAATTTTTCGGTTTTATAACTGAAAGTCCCGCTTTTTTGTGGCCGCACCTGCCTCACCATGTTCCTGTCGCGCCACCTGAGATTGCTGCCGCGGGCAAACATCGCGCGCACTCTGAGTTCCAAAGGAGCACATTACACAACCGCCGCCAGCAGCAATGCGGCACCGGCGGAGGATTCCTCGTTTGAGATACCCAATCGGATCGAGCGCTCTCCCACGGATATACTGCAGGCCCTGGCCGGTACCGTAGGCAGGGACCACACGGCGCCGCACTACAAATACCACGACGACCCATTTCTGATACCCATGTCCAATGCGGCGAAGCGAACTTATGCCATGTCCAAGGAGTCCGGTCGCAAGGCGGCCAAGTGGATCAAAGAGGAGCACCGCGAACTGTTTTTGGTAGGTACATACAGATAATATAACTATAAACTGAGCTAGAAACCTCCCCTTTAGCACCAAGAAGCTCAGCCGGCAGTGGAGAAGTTCGCTCCCAGCATGGTCTACACCGAGGAATCCGATGTGGATGAGACCTCTCTCCGCCAGCTGATCGCTCAAAGTGAGCTCAAGGATGCCGTGCTGGTGTACAACATCCTAGAGAAAAAGGGAACTCCCATCAGCGCTGATCTAAAGCAGAGCCTTCTTGAGCTGGTGTGCTTTTACAATAACCAGGAGCCTTTGCCCGAGGAGTACATCGAGGAGCGCTGGTTCATACAGAACAATAGAAGGCGTGACCGGCACGGCAAGACCTGGAAGGATGGAGATCTGGCCGAAAAGCTGTACGCCGAAATCGAACCGAAAACTCCACAGTCGTACGCCTCCCTCATTCGCGGCATGGCCAAGTATCTGCAGTGCGAGCGTGCTTATGCCCTGCTCCAGGAGGCGGTTGAAAAGCAGATCCAGCTGGATACGAACACCTACAATTCCATTATCGAAATCGTGAGCTACCTGAAAGACACGGCGGAGCAGCGATGGCAGCTATGCACTGAGCTGCTGCAGGAAATGTCGCAGCAAAAGCTGAGACCGAACCTGGGCACCCTAAACGCCGTACTGCAATGCATCAGCACCTTCGGCAACTTCAAGCTAGCTCGTAGCGCCGCCTTGCAGGTGCTGCCGGAGTTCAAGCAGCTGGGCGTAAATCCCAGCCTGGGAACCTACTACTATCTGTTGATTATCTTCTGCAGGGAACGAGGTCCCGTCTCGCACGTCATTGTGGACATTCTTAACGACATTGCCGGCAAAGAATTCCAGATTGAGCATCCTAAGGACACGTACTTCTTTGCCACCGCTATGGATGTGTGCCGCAATCATTTGAACGACAAATCGCTGGCCAAGAAGGTGGACGAGCTGCTGCACACAGGTAAGAACTACGACCTGGTCGGCGACTCTTTCAAGGAGTCCGTCTACTACCGCAACTATTTGGCGCTGCTCTGTCAGACGGAATCGATTGAGGACTTTATGCTCACCTACGACCTGCTGGTGCCCAACATCTATATACCCGAGCCCGGCATCATGGAGGAGATTCTGCGTGCCATCGAGATCAACAACGCCGTCGAGCACGTGCCCCGCATTTGGTCGGACATGGTCGTATTTGACCACACGCATCGCGAGAGCCTTCTGCTCTCTGTTCTCCGCATCATGGTGGACAACAAGCCGTATACCGAGTCACCCGCCCAGCAGCAACTGCCGGAACAATGCGCCAAGGTGGCTCTCGACATGTACGAGAGAGTGGAGGAGGCCATAAAGCGACTCCGGAAGGTCTCCTTCACCGGCCAAATGCTGGGAAACATTCTTACGCTGCTCGTTCGTGGCGGTAACTTCGAGAAGGCCTGCGAGGTGTTCGCCCACATCGACAAGAACCAGCACAGGATACCCGGCACGCCCTCTGAAAGTGCTCTTCAAGAGTTCGTGGAGGCCAGCGTGCAGGAAAAGTCACCCAGTCAGGCGCTGGTCGCTTTGCAATATGCCGTTGAGAATAACATGGAGTCCAGTGCCTTGGCCAAGCGTATCCATGATGGATTCACCCTGAACGAAACGCATTTGGCGAAGCTGAAATCGTTGGTAGGCGACAGTTTTCTCGATAAGTAGAAAAGTCTTGTTTTACTAGAATATGTTTTGTAAACACGAAATTTGTTAAATAAATAACTATACAATTTAAAACATGTTTAAAAATTAATTGATATAATAATCAAAAAGCATTTAATATAATATTTTGGTTTGCCTGGTAAATTTAAATGTAGGCGCCTTTTATTGTTATGACACTGCACTGTTAATCAACACCATAAAGATTTACTTAGGTGCGAGCAAGACAAGAATAGTAAGCAAAAATATAAGAAAATAGACGAATTGATAAAAATCAAATGCTTTTTAACGGTAGGTAAATAAATAAATATATGCAATATTCGAGCCCCTTCTTATTATATACAAATAAACAATAATTAAAACTTGTTTACCGGCTGGAATTTAAAACAACAAGTCTGACCGTCTTCAGCTACCGAAAAATACCAGCCAAATCTCGATAGTACTATCGATTGCGCTTCTATGTTGTACAACACTGCTCGAAATGTTGAAAATAATTACAAAAAGTTCACGTGCAGTCGGTAACTTGTCCGGTTTAATTTCAACGTCAGCAGCAACAGCAGCGGTTTGCCAGAGATATATACACATCGACCGGAAGCGCACGAAATCGGCCAACATGTCCCAGTACGATACCATTGCGAAGGGTGCCCCCAACTCGCCCAGCTACAGCCTTTATTTCAGTAAGTTCGCCACAAATCTGGCCCCAATGTGACCCGGCCCGGCATAACCTGCTGGCGTCACCAAAGCCAAGCCACAATTAAGCGGCGAAAGCAATTGCATCTAACGGGATAACTTACTGGGTTTAATCATGGCCGGGGCAATTATGCAACAAGTCAAACCGGACTCTGCTTATTCAACATCGCGTCGTCGTCGCTTTATCAGCGCTATCAGCAATTTGTCTCTGCATCGGAACTAAAGGAAATACCATGACCTTGGGACTTCTGTAGCCAGTGGTCCGTGGACTTATCTCCTCTTTAATATAGCTACCATATCGTTGATATTGAAATTGGGAAATTAGGGGGGTCAAACTTCATCAGACTAATCAGGTTCGGCACGCAACTAATTAGACCTGAGCCGGCCGGCCGGTGACCTTTGTCTAGACAACGGAAAAGGGGAAAGGAACGCTTTACAATCACATCAATCAAATCGCGTGCCCCGCAATGCTAATATTTGCAATAATTTTTGCCACTTTCCGCAGAAAACAAGTGCGGCAATGTCATCTCGCCAATGCACGACATTCCACTGTACGCCAACGAGGAAAAGACCGTCTACAACATGGTGGTTGAGGTGCCACGTTGGACCAATGCCAAAATGGAGGTTAGTATCTGTCTGTGCTATATCCACCGTCTCGATAATAATCCATTGATTGCATGTTTATCTAATCAACAGATCAGCCTGAAGACCCCGCTGAACCCCATCAAGCAGGACATCAAGAAGGGCAAGCTGCGTTATGTGGCCAATTGCTTCCCCCACAAGGGTTACATCTGGAACTACGGCGCCCTGCCCCAGACCTGGGAGAATCCCGACCACATTGAACCCTCCACGGGCTGCAAGGGCGACAACGATCCCATCGATGTGATTGAGATCGGTTACCGTGTGGCCAAGCGCGGTGATGTCCTGCAGGTCAAGGTGCTGGGCACCATTGCACTGATCGATGAGGGCGAGACCGACTGGAAGATCATTGCCATCGATGTGAAGGACCCACTGGCGTCTAAGGTCAACGATATTACTGATGTGGATCAGTACTTCCCGGGCTTGCTGCGCGCCACTGTTGAGTGGTTCAAGGTAGGCTTTAATTCATTATTTTTTCAGAGCTTTATTAACCTTTATGTGCACTGCAGATCTACAAGATTCCCGATGGCAAGCCTGAGAATCAGTTTGCCTTCAATGGTGATGCCAAGAATGCTGACTTTGCCACCACCATCATTGCGGAGACTCACAAGTTCTGGCAGAACCTGGTTCACCAGAGCGGCACTTCCAACACAATCTCTACGTGGGTTCCCTTAATAACTCAATAAGTCACTGAAAACTTAGTAATGTTGATTAATTTGCAGTACCAACATCACCAACCGCAACTCGGAGCATGTTATTCCCAAGGAGGAGGCTGAGAAGCTCCTGGCCGAGGCCCCGAGGGCGGTCAGGTGGAGGAGGTGTTAGACACAGGTAAGGTTTACTATGTTAAAGCGCGCTTATAGCCGCCTCAACCTCAACCCACGCTTACCCAGCCAAATGCAAACAAATTGGTTACTTAAACCCAACCTGCATGCTTACTAATAACTACTCTAATGCGTTCAGTTTCAAACCAAAAATAAGATAATCCCATGCTGTAAATACTGCTTAATGCTCTCCCCCTATATGTAATTGGTTTAATTGTTATGTTAAATGAGCTGCTAAAATAAACATAAACCTAAATCCATGTCCCTTTCTCTCTCTCCCGCTATTGCAGCCGACACTTGGCACTTCATTCACCTCAAGTGAGGTGTTGTCGCTCCCTGATAAATCCGCCCCAAGATCATCGGAATATATATAATGTAGTGTAATCGAATTGGAGATTTATATGCACTTGTGAATTATTGATATTGGAATTAAATAAAGAGCTGCACTTAAACGCTGGCGACTCCTCTTTGAAATATACAATCTTTATTTATATTTTACGACTAGATCCAAACAAGTTTAAATTAATTAATAGTTATGTAATTGTAGGGCATATGCAAATAGTACATATATATTTATATATATATAGAATCGAATCGAATTATGCCGTGTAAGGATGTATTGTGTATGGTCGCTTTCGGTTCTATTTGGGGATTGGTGTGGAACGTAAAATTTACTGCCGTAACAAGTTAACTTAGGCTTACGAAATAAAAGAAATGTACAAAATAGTTAGACGTTATAAATATGTGTATGTATAGAAATCTTTAAAAGAAGACAAAAATAATTTATTTACATCAGACATTTTGATTCTTGTTCGTTCGTTCGTTTCATATTTTGTTTGTTGCTTTGTTCTCTCGTTAGAAAATGAGCATAATTCTCGCCTTTCATAAAAACTAAAAGCTCCACGAGATGGTTTAAACGGATCGATGTGCATGCCGGAGATTAAAGATAATAATAAATGAACAAAAACGAAATTTCTTCACTTTCCGATATCGTTGCGGATAAGTAACGTGTAATAGTTTTCATTATCTTTTTTTTTTGTTATTTTTTTCAACATTTTTGATCTGCTTTCTCTTTAGTAGCTTAGTCGCTAGTTATTTTTCTTTTAAGTGGGGTACACATTCCTCGGGTCGTTCGTTTCCTGGTTTGCCATTGTTTCGTGCCGTGTTCTGCCACAGTTATCAGTAATACAATACATAGTGTATGTTTTTAGTTTAGTATATAGTTAATAGAATTAAGTAGCTGCTCGTGCCAGTGACGGTGCCAGTGTGCCTGTGCCCAGATAGTTGGCAAGTTACTTGCGTCCCAGGGTATCGCGCCATTCGTTGTACTTGTCCATCTCCTCGTGCAGCTGTAGAGCCTCAATGCAGGCGTTGAAGAAGGGCGATCCGAAGCATTCTTGCCTGTTTTTTTTAAATAAATAAGGATAATGGATTAGTATAAAATACAGCTGAGGACTTCTTATCAAGTGTGCTCAAAAAGGTGGAGCCAAAAAGTCCAAAATTCTTGATTCTTGTGAGGCTGAAAAATTCAAAAATTGCTCTCAGTGAGGATTTTGATCTTAAAATGTTTAATTAAATTAAAAATAGTGAAATAATCAATTGAACAGTTTGCGAAATACCTTAAAAATCGTTTGGTATTTCATCAACTTTGATTAAAAAAATGATTGTGGCACAAGATTATGTATAAAAATTGGGATTATCTATATAACCCCAAGTTCATATATAAATCAAAAGTTTATAAAAAGTTTTTTTTATTATTTAATTTGACTAAAAATGTCTAAAAAGCATTTTAAAATCAAAAAGTACTAAAACTATGTGTGTCAAAATTTGTATTGCATACTGAAAGGCGCTCAAAAATGTTTTCGAAAACTCAACTTCAGGGACTTAAATATAACCTTAAAATTGAAAATTACAATTCTAATTGTTTAAAAGAATTCGGCAGAGTCCCTTAAACTCAAAAAATAACATAAAACAAGAAAGGAAGTTAATTTCGGGAGGACGAAGTTTGTATATTCTTGCAGTTTAAAAGTAGATCAGGGACCGAATTAAAATTGATCATAACTAAGTCAAAACTGCTTTATTTTCGAATCGGAAAGTTTTTTTGTGTTACGTTTTACGTTACGATAAAAAAATTTGCATACTAGATTATAAAAACTCTAGTTTTTATCAATTTTTAAAAATGTTAACGATGTAACCCCTTATATATTCTTTTTTTAAATAAAAAAAAAGTTAATTAAGCCAGACAAGCTGGGCTGATCAAAAATATATATTTTATATAGTGGGAAATGATTCCTTTCCTTAATAAAATTATAATAACCTGCAAGGATATACAAAATAATACGATATGGATATGTTTGCAAAAATCTTATTCGGTATCTGGGACTTTTATCCGCCTTTAAAGTCAAAAATCAAATAGAAAACTAAAAAAATAATACAAAATAAAAACGTACCAAAACAAAAACGGTAAGCAGGCGTTTTTAATTGGGCGCCCAGAATCGCGTGCATAATGTTTCACAGGCTGTTTAGCGATATCCTTCACTGGCGGCTATAGACTGAAGACTGCATCTGCGATCTCTCCTGCTGGGATATCCTCTGGGCACATCTGGGCCTCTCCGCGTCGCGCATTCGCATTCTAATTCTCATTTATCACAATTTTGATGCTTTCAAATAGCCAGCGAATGATTATCCTTTATTATTTTACATTTGGGCTTATAGTGGTGATGCTTTTTTTTTTGTTTTTGCTACATTTTGAATGTAATCAAACGTTTGTTGCGTGTTTTTACCGAGGATTTTTGTTTGTGTCTTGCACAAATTGCGTTCTTGCGTTATTTAGACTAAACATTTAGTATGTGTTGTGTGTGTGTGTGTGTCGTAGTATTCGGATAATTGTTAGGTATAGATAGATATATGCATATTTCCTCTCTTTCTCTTTTTTTTGCCAACAAATTTACGCTAATTAGGGGTTTAATCTTTACAAAATAGCACGAAATTGTAATTGTAATACATTTGCAAAATACTTTCGGTCTCGTGTGTGGGTGTGTGTTCCTGTGTGTGTGGTGTGTGTGTAGTATGGATTAGGTTTTCCTTTTGCCTTTTGTTTGTTTTTGCCCTTTGCAGGAAAATCGTGTAAAATGTAAACGTTAAATGCTGATTTTACAATAGTGTACAAAAAAATAAAAATAATCATTTAACATTACATAGATTAAAACAGTGGATTTCGTTTTGTTTATTTTATATACATAACGCATAACGCAATAATAATAAAACAAGCTAAGAATACTTATAAATAAATACTTCGGCTTCCTATATACTTCGGTGGCGGCGGAGAAGCGAAAGGGATCTCATTATCCTTACGATCCGATTCGCTTTGTTATATCTCCCAACGCCCTACTTCTTTCCTACGATTATGTTACTTACAACAAACGCATAACGTTCTCAATAAATTAATAAAAATAATTCGTTTTTAAAAAAACACATATATAGTAAAAACTGTAAAGCATACAGTAATAAATAAGTACGAATTAAATTTGGGCGTTTTAATATTTTAGATTTCTTTGTTCTTGGCTCTGCATTTTGTGGTTGTAGTCGCAGCGAATTTCAACTTTTGTTGTGTTTGGGAAGTGTGTGTGTGTGTGTGTTGTTGTGTGTTTGGATGGGTTTTTTTTAGCGGGTGGGTAGGGTAGGAAATTGGGGGAAATCGGGGACTTAAAGTTATGTCTGCGGCGCCATGTTGAAGGATATGGGCGAGCCGTTAACGACTCTCAGAAAGTGCTGTAAGTTCGATATTTCCTCTTCGGGTATTAACAGCACTTTCAGGCATTCGCCGAACCATTTTGAATCAAAGCAGTCTTTCCTAAAATTAAGAAACGAAAATCATAATGAAACACAACACACAAATAAAGGTAAATCAAGCTTAATCGAAACAAATTAGGGAAATTATATATAGCAAGCGGAAACGGAAATGGAAATAGAAATGAAAGCGGAAACGGAAACGGAAACAGAAAACGAAAGAAGGCTGTCTGGAAAGTAAGCTGTCTTAGTGGTATTTGGGCTTGTGGAACGGATAGGGTGATCCATTGATCACTTTTAGATAATGCTGCAGCTGCGATATCTCTTCATCGTCGATCAGCAGCACCTTCAGGCAGTTCCCGAAGGTTTCGTGGACGAAACAATTGGCCCTGAATCAAATAGACAATTGAAACAACAGATGTAGAAGGACGCACAGAGAAATAGTATCAGAGATAGTCAGTTATTTATGGTGGTTTTGGAAATAATTAAATGATATTTTAACAAATCATTTTAAAGAAAGCTATTAAAACATAGATTTTAAAGATTATGATCAAAGTAGGACACTCAAATATAAAAATAAGAAATAATGACAAAATGCTCTTTTCTCTGTGCGAAAAAGTCAAGGAGAAAGTGGCAAGAGACCATAAAGTTTAGAAATAAATCAAGGTTCTGTGATCATTTCCCACCCATGGGATTTTGTGTCAGGGTCGCAGCAAGCACCAGAGATTCCATTCGGAATCCGACCTTGCCTTGGACCCCGGTTGCTCTGTAAGGGAATCTCTGCTTCAGGGTTGCGTTAGTTTTACGGATATCCAATATATATTAATATCCGTGGCATTGGAAACTTACTTGCATAATCGGTGTATACTCGTCTCGCGGAACAACTGGTAACAATCCTCACAGATGCGGTCCAGTCGGAAGAACATGGTCTTGTTAAAGATGCCCTTGCACTCCAGATCGAAGAAATTGCTGCGCTTCGACAGATTGTGGTTGTGTGGCAAGGCGGTGAAGATTGGTATCAAGACGAGAAACAGCACCACCGAGATCTTTATGTTGCGGGAACACATCTGCGGGAGAAACAGAAGAAACCACAAGAGTGAGTGAGAACCGGAAATGCATTAAAAATAGCCTCCCTATTTATAGCGAAACCATCAATTAACCAGCACTGTCTCCTCTCTCTCTCTCTCTCTCTCTTTCATCCGATCTGGCCATCTGCCGGGGCGGTTTAAGCCCGCTCGCTACCCGGTAACTGGGTAAGCAGATATGGGCCAAGCTAAGCCGCCAAAGGACAGGGGGCAAGGGCAGGGCCCAGACCCAGGTAATCAAGCTGCCGCACTGAACGCGGGTCCTATAAATAGACTCGTGTCTGACAGCCGGCTAAAAATAAGGCCCCCATCCTTCGCACGCCGTCTGCCCGAAAGGTGCAATTGCAATTGCAGACGCGATCTTATCGCAGGAAAAAAAGCTCTATAAATAGGCACCGGCGGCGGCGGCGGCGATTTCAATGTTCATGGCATTATTTTTTGCCATCTGTCGGCGGACTTAATTTATGATGTAAGTTTGCCGCTACGGCGGCTCAAAGGAGAGCCAATTTACAGACGGACAGGCCCCCAAAAAAATATATATATATGTATATAGTACATATAGTGGTCACATATTTGTTTACTTTGCATATTTTATGGCAAAGTGCTCCCCGGTTCGGCTTCAATTACACCGCTCTGCTACACTGACACATTTGTATACAACGTGTGGCATTCCAAACTATTGAATAATTTGATTAAAAGTGCAAATTTTTCCATTGCGCATTGTGCCAATTGTTTGTTTGCACATGACATGTGTGAAATTTTTGCGCCATTCGGAAAAAAGGCATACAAAAAAACGAGCTCATTTAAAGTGAAGTGAACTGAAATGCTGAATGAAAACCAAAGCAGACAGAACGACGTCGGCTATTTTGAGAGATAAAAAAAATAACATGAAAGGCATTTGTTAGACGCTCCTTGGCGCTAATGATTTAAACACATTTTATGTTATTGTTTTAACGCGGCTGTCGGCTGTCGAATCTGACGATCTGTGCCGTCCTAAGATCTTTAGGCAAATTGATTTTTTATTGCCTTGTTGATGTCTTCAATTAAGTTGAGCACATTTTTCGCTCAGCTCCAACTCGCCTCGCCTTGATTTATGGTCGCTGAATGGGGAAAGAAATGGTGGGCATGGAAATCGTATTGAAATCGGAATCGAAATGGAAATGGAAATGGGAATGCCAATGCGAATGGGGCATTGGGGAATGCGAATTCTTAGAAAGTTCATCAGTCGGCAGCCAAAAAGAATATAAGTATGTTTATACGACCCGCTTAACCTTATATTGAGTTTTGTTCTTGACAAGGCTACGAGGAATAGCTACGAATGGCAATTTCCGCTCCTAAAAGTATGCTTATATATGGATGTTTTTATTTAAATTTAATTTATTGCTCGTGGCTTGCACATAAAAGAGATGTTAATGTCTCATAAACCGAAATTGCGTTCCTTCGAAAATTTCATTAAAAATAGGAGATAGCTTTCGATGGAAAAGTAAGACAACTAAGTAAGTTAATTTAATTTGTTTATTTCATGGAGATTTATAAGTTTAATTTAAAACAATAAAAAGATATACTCAAATGATTAAAATTTTTTTTAATATCAATATAGGGTAAGATTTGTCATATTTGTAATACCGAACAGGAAAGCAAACTTACTTTGGGAAGCAGGAATTGAATGCTTCTAAAGTTTGCAATCGAGATTTAAGGATATTTTGATATGACAAATTTTCCGACAAATCAAAATTTCAAATTTATAACTAAGCCAAAAATGCTTTAATCTCTTTTTGGAAAGCATTTTTATGTTAGTTTTTAGTAAGTTAATAAGTTTGCAAGCTCAGTTTCATATAATGCTTTCCTACTTAAATTAAATAATTACTATTGTATGTTTTCTCACACGTGCAAGTTAAGGGCAAGTGGGGGAAACCAAGACCCGATAATAAGTACTTATATCCACCGTATAGTGAGCCCACATTTCGTCAGAGATCTCCCGTCGACGACTGGTCCCAGTGCAAAGTGCAACAGCTGGGACTTGACTTCTCCTGGCCTGGAGGAGAGTTGTGCCTCACATTTCCCCGATGGCGTATCAACTGAGCTGAGATTTTGAATTCGATTTCGAGTGATAATTGGCTTCGAGTTGCACGATTTATGGCATCATCGGCAGTGCAGGCGTCTATTTTTAACGCTGCATGAATGGTATAATTGATATGCGAAACGCGTCAAAGATAATGTAACAGCAGTGAAGGCAGAGAAAGACTCCCGGACTCCAAGCGGGGAAGAAGTGGGGGAACACCCACCCACAGGGCAAAGGGAAAGTTGAAGGAGAAGCTGGAATGATCCAATGGCGTCATCGCTGACCACAGATACCACACGCATAAAGGAGACAATGAATGCGATGCGGCATCAAGTTGATCGATCTTCGATCTTTAGCTTCATATATACGTAGTAGGATCTTCGATCATCATTATCACTGCGACGACATGCTTGGGCAATTTGTTTGCATTTCGCCATTGATTAGCTGCCAATTGATTTTATTTGTCGGCCGGCGCTTTGTATCAATTCAAGTTGCGAGCGTGTCGCACATACAAGTCATCCCATTATTCGAATTCCAGGCGATGGTGTGCCTGTCTCTGGCTGTTATGCTATAGCCGGACCATATATATATATATATTGAGTCGTATCTCTGAATCATTGGAGCGAGTCGCACGCACGCCTCTCAATTGCCATCACTTCACATCACGGCACATCCCAACCCATTCCCATACCAAACCCCCGATTGCCGTCTGATTGTACACTATTCAACTTTGATTTGATTGCTGTTTTGATGATGATTTTATTTTCGCTGCTGCCAGGCGACATTGAATGAAGTCATGAGCCAAAAATAATTGTCGCAATTATGACATAAAAATGGATTGTGAATTCTTTTTTTGCGCAATAGTTTATAATTATAATACCGAGTGAAAAATAAAGGAGATAAGGTATGATTAGTTATGGGGGTGTATGCACAGAAAAGCTATAAAAGTTACGGATATGAAATTGAAGTATAAGAAATATATATATTCATAATATTAAAAGGATATTTTTGTCTATTTGAAATAAGGTATTGCTTTAACAAACGGTCTTTAAATTCTTACTTGGAAACCCTTACAATAATCATTATTTTTAGAAATCAAGGAATGGGGTTTTCTACAGATCTTTATACTGTAAAAAGCTGTGATTCTTCTGAAATGTTGTATAGTTTGTAATAATCATAACATTAAAAAATAAACTAAAATTCCATTTAAAAACCCGTTCATTTTATCGTTACAATACTTTATTTAGAATTATTTAATTCACAGAATTTCGAAGTCAGCCTTTTTTGCATTTACCCCTTTTATAGAAGAAACGCCCACCAGCAACTGTCACGAAATGCTCTATTTATAGAACAGCTGGTTCAAGTCCAGCGATTCCTTATCTATTCCCCTTAAATCCGCCTCGGTATGTGGGAAATGTTATCGTGAGATAATTGTATATCACCGGGAACTGGGGACGGCTTAAATGGCTACAGCGACACTGAAATGCCTGCCAAACTGTGGCCAAACAGACGCGTGCATTCTGTGTGCCTGATATACCTGATTGCGATCATATATGTATATATACTACTCCTATATGTCTTAACGCTTGGCTACGCAAGCATGGCAAGCCGAAAGCCAAAACATAAGATCCCCTCACAGCCGCCCCCTTTGGTTGTGTTTTTAGTTGTTGTTTTTTTTTTGCAGCGCAACTAAAAAGTGCTTAGACACGCAAAAACAACACCGAAAAGCGTATATAAACATTGGCGATGGCGAGACTGCTTGGTACCAACTAAAAACTAAACTGGCACAGCAGCAGCAGCAGCAACACTCGTGCGATGTTGCCGATCCTCCACTGGCAATGTTGCTGCAATGCTGCAATGCTGCGTCGCTGTGTTGCTGACTGGCGGGGAGGCGCGCCTGCGTGGAGCACTAAACGCTCGGCTGTTAATTTGATGGACATGCAGGAGTCGCGAGCTCTTGAAAGCAATTTGCATGATATGTGTATTCAATTAATATTCATTTATTCATGAAATCTCTGGGCTATGCAAAACAGGAAAGACTGACGAGAGAAAAAACAATATCTTAGCTGAAGTTAGTATGCACTGGGGAAAATAACTTGAAGCCAAATCTCAATTTACACATTGTGCTCCATCATCCAAATAAATATACGTATTTCCCTGCATCACATGAGGCGTAGATTTTATTATTTTGTTTAGATAGATGAGCAGTTTGGAGGTGAATTTACGACTGAGATAAGATGGAACTGTGTATGCCTCTCATGATTTTCTATGAATCGGATTTGTTTTAAAGGAATGATGTATGGGAAATAGCGGAGAAATGTAAGCAGAAAAGATAATTGGGAATTTTTCGAATATAAGTAAATATCACAATGGGATTTTTATAAACAATTGTTTCAGTTTAGGAACTAAAATTTCCATAAAATGCACTTCTAGGAAAGAGATTAATTTCCAATATCTTCCTTAGTTAAATGTAATTAGTAAGAGTATAAGTACTCAAGCCACTATATGGTATTCTATTAAATAAGATCATTCAATATATATTAAATCTTTAAATAAAAAAACAGTAATTCAATTTTCAAAACTTTTTTAGATAAACCTTAGACTGACCTATAAGTAAATTAAATACTTATTTTAAATGACTCAAAATTGGAACCTCAGCACAACAGACCTATCCTGTTACCCCATAAAACCTCTGAAATAATTATTATGTTTAACCATGATCCATTGTAAAACCTGAACTAATTTGGTTTAATTTTCAAACAATTTTACATCCACCCCACTCACAGTAGTTGTGACTGCTGCCATGGCAGCGATTCTATGGCTTCCATCCATATCGCAGAGTCAATTGATCTGAATATATATATCCAATTGATATTATTGAGATTAATGGCGAGCCGTTGTTTCGCAATAGATCTTTGGC